AGGCACCTAGATATATTATCCTTGGATTCTTTGCAGTGCATCAAGGACAGTTGTCATGCAGGTGTGTCTGAAGAAGACCCCACTGTTGGATGCATTTGAACCCGCTGTTGGATAGATTTGTGGGCCAAAAGGCCATGAAGCATCTTTCGAGGGTAGCTTTCTTTAGAAAACACCGAGGTAGGGATGAGCCCTGTGCGCAGCTCAGAGAAAAAAACGAATTGCCAAAATGGCGGGGCTGAGGATACGAGTCTCTCGGCGGTTGTTTCTGGAGGTTGGTTCCCTCTTGGCAGAGCTCAGAGGATTCCAGTCTTTCCCCCCGGGTTTGTTTGCAGCTCGTGTGTCCCCAAGGGCCTGGCCCAACCCGCTCAAACTTCCGCCTCGACTAGGAAGAACCCCCTCGCATTCGCAAGTTCGCTGACACCTCGCCACCGGAGAACTACCATGTCCTTACAGAACTCCCTCTTGAAAAGGCAAATTTGGAGACTCGAACTACCAGGGCCTTACAGAAATACTCGCTCCGAAGCGGCTCCCTCCCACTAGCCAAGCTTGAGCGTCTGGGTCCCGGGCTGCCGAAGTCGCGATTCCCCCACGTGGAGCCTTGGGCGGTGAATTTCTCCAGATTGACCGATTCCTCCGGGTGAGTTCCTGGTTGTCCTTTGGTCCTTCCTAAAAGGGGGCCCTCCAATTTTGAGAAACACCCTATGGTTTTTCGACCCAGCAAACCGTATATGTCAACGTCTGGACGTTGAAGCAAATTCAAGAAGCCAACTTATTGGTGGGGGCCCTCATTTCGTGACAGCTGGCTGGTCTTCGTTGAACCTAGGAAAAAGGCCCCTTGGACACGGCAGGCTCCCAACATCCCCTACCAAAACTTCGCCTTTCAGGTCGAACAGGGCCCCATGGGTAACGTTTAAACTTACCAAAAAAAGGTAAGACGGCCGGCAAAAACAGAGGGACCTCCAAAAGTTCCTCTTGGTTTCGCTTTGAAAGCCCTTGGGAATTATACATATATATATATACACATTACATATAAATACACATTTAAACATAGATGGAGGAAAACAACCCTGTGGTTGAGTAAGGTCGGGGCAATCCCATCTGTGAATCAGAACGCGGGGCATTTTGCCACGCGCAACCTGCGGGTTAACCCCCCCCCTGCCCAAGCGAATGATTGACGGGCTGAGGGAGGCACTGCCAAACGCACACACAAAAGGGAGCCTAGACCAAACCTGCACATGTTTAAAGGCCTTCCACAGCAAAGCAAAACCAGCAAAACTCGCTTTGCCCAGGTCAGGTGGCATCCCCCGGAATCTTTCGGAATCTATCTGGGCAGCGGGGACCTCCCGCGCAACTTGCGGTGACAGGCGCACCCTCCGACCGCGGATGAAACTTGCAGGCACTCCCGCACAAGGCCATTGGCAAAGGTGTAGCCCACGCCGGATGAAGGCCGAAGAGTGCTTGTTCTTCAGCTGGTATTCACAAGCCGTGCAGAGTGGAGGCAACAAGGAACCTATATTCTTGCGCCAGTGATTTTAAGGTGAGCGACCGGAATCTCAGTGAACCTTGTGTCATCCAATTCCATGCCAAGTTCCCTGGCAAAGGTGCACTCAACCCCCCCCAAAAGGTAAGAGGGTTTCATAAGCCATCAGGGCGTTTTCATGGAATCAACGACCTTGGTACCGCAAAAAGGGGCGATTCTCCAACCAACTCTCCACGCTTTCGCGTGCGAAGTGAGGTTTCTCAGCCCCTTTGCCCAACGCTAGGTCCTCCAGTAGAGGGTACCCTTTGGTTGAGTCAGTGGAACAAGGGTACCCTGTTGTCTGCAGTCTATTTTAGTAGGGCAACCCTCCCCCCAGGGTAAAAGGGCACCACTGGACCTAGCAACGGATCGACCGAAGGCCCGGCGGGCGAAATTTTACCCAACTCAGCCGCCGGCCGTAGCCGCCCTTCCCGCCACCGCGGCCTGGCCGTTGCGCCAGGCAAAGCAACGCTGAGGCGCGGAATGGGAACAACTTTTAAGGAGATCCTTTTATTTGAAATGCAATCAATTCACTATCTTGATAAACAGGTGAGCTGGAAAAAAAACCCGTATTAAAACTCTTATCCCTGCAAATCCAAGCGGCGGTCTTCATAAGAGTGAGGTCCCCCAAAAACATGCCCCTTAAGTGTATGAGGTCTCAGGTGTGTACACTGCTGCAAATTGTTGCTGGCTGCTGCTGCTGGCTGCTGCTGCTGCTGCTGCTGCTGGCTGCTGCGGCTGCTGCTGCTGCGGCTGCTGCTGCTGGCTGCTGCTGCTGCTGCTGCTGCTGCTGGCTGCTGCTACTGCTGCTGCAACTCATTGCTGGGATCTGCAGAAACAGAAAATGCAAGCTACAGAAATGGGCCACTCCTGATCCAAGGCATCTACGACTTGCGCGCGACTTGCGCGCGACTTGCGCGAAAATATAGCAATCTTCCGGATTCTTTCGACCATGCGGATGATGATGATGATGATGATGATGATGATGATGATGATGATGATGATGATGATGATGATGATGATGATGATGATGATGATGATGATGATGATGAATCATCACTGCGTCACTTGCGCTTCACTTGCGCTTTACTTGCGCGGCCCCATGTTTGACTTGCGCGGCCGCTCCTGCAACACACTCCTGCCATTCAAATTACAAGCGGCGGTGCAGCTAATTTGATAGGTCCAAAAGACCTGGGATCATGCCTGACATTGACACATACAACGTGTTTTTTTTTTTTTTTTTTTTTTTTTTTTTTTTTCCGACTCAGGTGAGGCTCATGTTTGAAAGCAAACGTGTAATCCACCAGTCTCAATTCCGCTCCGAGAAGAGCAGAGTTGGGTTTCCTTGAAGGCCCGGCAAAACAAGAGCTGGCTCTCTTTTGGCTGGCCGTTTCGGTGGCCGCTTCCTGCCTTTGCATCGATTTGGGGTTTTATATGCCTTTCGTTTAAGAACCGCTTTCAGGTTACTTAGCAGAAAACCAAGAGGGGAAACCAACCACTTGGAGGGGTGCCTATTCTGCCACATACCCTGAACAATTACACATCATTCGCCCATGGTCATGAGGTGCCAAGAAGAATGCCTGCACCGCGCTGCACCTGAAACGTAAATTTCACAAGTGGGAAACCAACAGGTCAAACAAGGTCCATTCCCGTTGGGCGAATGAGGCACCTGCTAAGAAGCCGAAATTGCATGCCCATCCACCCAACTTGATGCAAATTGGCCTGTGCGGCTGTGATAACCCTGTTCCTCGAGGATAGTGGTTTCATCTTGGAAACCATCTCGGATGCAGTCGCCGAATCACTTTTCCAGCGATATGCAGCGAGAGCGAGAGCACGCCTCTCGCGTTTTCAAAGGTGTGGCAAGGATCGGTACAGCTTCGCTGTAGTGTGCAATCGCGGGCGAGCTTGTTCAGAAGCCCCCCCCTAAAAAAAAGAAAAAACAAAAAACAAAAAACATGCAACAAAGGTCGATCTTTGCCACGGGTGAAACTCGAGCTTCGGGCGGTTTCGCGCCCAAAAGGTGAGATGAGAGTTTGGGTCAACCAGGATTTCTCAGCAGACAAGCGATCCAGAAATCGCACACCTGCCTTTTCCTACGGGTGAACATGTATCCCGAGAAAACGCTTTTAGGTTTTCCAGGGCGTTTTGGGGGGACCGCCATTTTTTTTTGGGGTTCACTTGCTTGCCATGTTTGCTTGCCGGGGCAGAGGAGCAGCTGGCATTTGGCTGTCCAATCTGATAGCCCAAGCCTAAGGAACCGGCCAGGGAACCGCCCAGTCCCTGAGCAGAAAGGGAAAAGCGTTTCCGCACGTCTGGAAACCTTCAGGTTTTCGAAAGGCTTTGCCTCCGGCCCTCAAAACCACCCTCCCCCCCGAAGACACCCCTAAGGCTAAAGGACCACTCGACTTGTTTTGCTTTTTTTTTTTTGGGGGGGGGGCTGGGAAGGCTTTTTCAGCCTGGAAACAAACGACGGTTCCCCGAATGAAAGTTTGCGAAACCTTGGGTCTTGGAAGAACCATGCGGGACCCATCCCTTCTTCCAGAAATCCCAGTGACATTTTTCCTGGGGAGGTGGGTGGATAGTTTCAGATGTGTCATCCATTGATTTCGTGAAGCCAAGGCGATTTTCATGTGAAAGCTTCACTGCGCCTGTCTGGACCCCCCCGCTCTTTGTTTCTCCGACGTGGCCATTCTGGCCGCAGCGCAGCTCCGACTGGGTTTTGAGAGAAAACACGAGGATCTGGAGAAATAGAAGCCCCAAATCGGTTTGCTTGGGCCAAACGGTGGTCGCCTTTACTGCCAAAATCGCCCTCCGCTTTTGCAATTCCTCGCGTCTGCGTGGTCGTATCCATTCTCCCAGCTGCTTGTCGCTTCGGCGAATTGCCACGATGTCATGCCGCCTTTAGACATGCCATGAGAGAGGCAAGCACGCATGCACTGGGCAGGTTGCCACCATTGAAGTACGCCACCCTTGATTCTTCTTCATTAAAAAGGCCTTGAAGTTTCTTTATTGGGAAACTAGTAGTCAATTGTACTGAGTCAAGCTGCCGATGCCTTCACAAAGCGGTGTTTGCCTCTAAATGCGGATTGATGAGATTTGTTGGATTCTGTTCCATACATGTGCGAAATGATGCAAAAGGAGGTTGCGGGTAGGTGCCAATGTGATTAGTCAAAGTGCCAACCCTTGACAAGAATGGTTTGTCTCCAGGCAGATACCCTCCCCCCAAGGGTTCCCTTTGGCAGGTCTTTGAACGGACCCTAGACGACCCAACAAGGGATTCCCCTTACGCGAGACTTTACGGGTTCTCCCGCGCAATTAGTCTGAGAATAGGGTCTCTTTTCCTGATATCCAGGGCTGAAGTGAGCTTTGAAGTGGTACCTCAATGTTACAGAACATGTGTTTTAAAACCAATGAAGACACGATGCTCAACACTTAATTGCTGTTGACCCCTCTGCAAAAAGTTTAACTTCTTGTGGGTTTAGTGGAAAACCCCTTGACTTCAACCAAAAAGTTAAAGTGTAAAGATCCGTTACCCAATAGCAGTCAAGAACGTTACCAAACAACTGCTTTGACGCTTCAAGTCCAAAGTCTCAACATGCAACTTGAAGTCTCAAGTCTGAGAGCCAAGCCTCCGCGCTGCGCGGGTTGTTTGAGCTGTTGGCGCCATGCTTGGCTCCCATACAGATGTGCCGCTTTGTCAAATTTCCCGAAGTATGCGAGCAAAGCAAGCGAAACGCAACTTCGGGATGGTCAGATACATATCATATAACTACCCTCAAAATCAGCCGGACTCCCTAAAAACTAACACACACACACACACAAATACACGCCCTTGTAGAGCCACCGCAGGGCAGTGGGCCGGGCTTGGTAGGGGAACCCTACCCCAACAAGGGGTAAAAGGGCACTACTGGGGAACCTACAGTCGTGTTCCTCCAAGTGGAACCGCAGAATGCGTTTCTTCCGGTTGGTTGCCCTTTAACTGTCAAGGAAGCCCTCCCGATTTTGCAAAAAATACCACCTGGCTTCTGACCTGTCGCCATGTCGCTCTCGTGTAGCTTCAGTCCATGCGCGCAATCCATGAGCCTAGCGCAGCCCTAGCACTCAGCTTGGCTCAATTTCACCGCTCGGCGCTACCTTGCGAGTAGCCCCCACTGCCAATGGGCGCCTCCAGAAAGCTTGCAGCCCGGATGCCAGGCAAGCTAAAGGGAACCAGCTAGTTTCCTTTTGGTCGAAGACTGGATCCTGGGTCTCGTTGGTTACCTCCCCTTGCCATGGCGCATGTCCTGAGTTCATCGACTTTAAACTTTTTTGGGAAGACCGTTTTACTGGCAAACAAGAAAGTTGAACTTTTGTTGGCGAATCCACTCAGGAAGTGAGACAATGGCCCTAAAGTGTTTGATACTATACTTGGTATTTGGCAAATCTTCCATAACCACACACCCTGGCTCTCTTCGGCCCTGTTAAACTTGCGGCCCTATGCGGGCCAGCGCCCCAAGCAAACTCCCTCACTTGTTCCATATCTCTTTCAGGGTCTTGAGGCCGGGAGACGCCCGCACATCCAACAAACCGGCACAATTCATGGCAAGCTCACTTGAGGTGAGCTCAGCCATGATGATATATGATGATAGTCTTTGCTAGGAGGATATCTGTGCACTTTGCGAATGGCTGGGATTTGTGCAGAGGGGTCTTTGCGTTTTCGTGCTTTCATGCTGAAAACGACAAAATCGAGCCAGTATGTCCATTTTCCGTATAGACACAGAGTTCTGGCCCTCCCTTCGCCTCAAGGTCCATCCGTTCGGTTTTGAGAAACACATGGCCACTGTGACACTGGAACCGCCAGTGGCTGATTGGCCACCAATCCTCTTACCCGGCTGGTGAAATTTTAACCATCGGAAACAGCGAAGGGCGCAATCATATCAACCCATGCCCACGCCGAACGGGTCCCGCCTTAGTCCACACAGCACTGGAAGGGCCAAAGTGAACCACATCTACCATGGCTTGCGGCATGTGTTGGAGTGTAGTTGACGAGCATCATCCTTTGTTTGACACCTCCTGCTGGGGAGTGACAGGGTTTCCAACGCGTCCCATCGCATTCCTTGAGTGTCCCATCACACCAAAACCATCCGGAGACCTATTGAAAGGGGACGTGGCCCAATTTTCCCTCATTGTTTCCTGGAGTTTACTGAGCCATCCGTAGGCTCAGAAGGGTTCCATAGCGTGAAACATGTTGGCGTGTCATCCATTGGCGCATTCCCACCCTTGATGAGAGCCAGGCTGATTTGATCACTCGCCGCGGCTCGGCAGGAAATAGCCTGAGCGAAGGGCACTGATCAGCTTGCTAGGCGTCTGTCTTTTGAGGGTACCCCCTCTTGGCAACCATTCCCCCTATTTTGGAATTCCCGAAAGCTTCCCTTTTCACCAATCCAAGCCACATATTGGTCTGAGACTAGGTGTTGAACTAGGTCCGCAGAAAATCAACAGCTTGTCCATCCATATCCATCCCCTTTAGTTTGCCCCTGCAAACTTCCAAAAAGCCATGGGCTATGCTATGCGCCCAGCGCTACTAACCAACAAAGCGACAACACCTTTGCAAGCCGGGAGCCAACCAAGGCCAGCAAGAGCCCACCAACAAGAGCAAAAACAGCAAACCACACATCCATAATCTAGGTCCTCCAGTAGAGAGGTTAGAATACGTTGGTGCCCGATTTTCTTCTGGAAGTCTATTTTAGTAGGCAAAATAATATGCTACTATAAGACGTAGTTCCTTACTACTTCTTCTCGCTGTGGGGAACCCTCCCCCAAAAAAGGGTAAACGCTACTGAGGGAATTTGACAATCCACGAACTAACAAAACCCAACAAAGGTCAAACCAGACCAACAAGAACGGCGGAAACCGGCAGCGCTGCCAAACACCGACAACAAACACCAAAAGCGGCCGCACAAGTCGCACAGAACAAGACAACACGCCACCCCACCACCACCACCATCCACCACAAATTTCACCTAATACCAAGAACTGCGTTCAATATATGAACATTGGGCGGTTTCCCTGGGGAAATGAACACCATTATAAAGTCACATGATTGAAGGGTGGGTGCTCGAGAAAGTCCAATCAAGCCAAAGAACCTTTTTGCGGAAACCTTCCGTTTCGGGTCTTTAGGTCTCTCATGTTGTTTGAAACATGGCGTCCTTGGGCTCGGAAGCAATTCGAATTTGACCGGGCTGCTGATAACCGCGATCATGAGGTAGACCATCATCAGCATGGCCTGAGGTAGGTAGGATCGACGTCGCGCGCGACCAATCTTGAAACATATTTGGACATCGACGGAAGACGGCGAACAATTCTGCGGGGGACTTGTTGAAATTTCGAGTTCACAGACTGAGCAGGGTTCTCCTATGAGCAAAGCAGAACACAAGAGCATGTCGCGGCTTCCGAAAACGGAAGAACTGGGTCCCCTATATTTCCGAATCTATCACCAGGGATCCTTACATTATACACCTGAAGCTTGCAACTTGTAAATGGTGGTTTCCCCTTTTTTTGGTGGAAAAAGCCACATGTTTCAAATGGTTGCAAAATGGAGATCTTTTCAGGAGCCCTGCTCTCCCTTAACACATCCTTACCAATTGCTCTGGGCCACCAAGGTGCGCCAAAAAACCCAAAGGGAAACGGAAGCTGCTCTGCGCCAGACCTGGCAAGCTGTGCTCTCCGCATTAAATGGTGGGTTGCAGTTCTGACAATCAGCCCAGTCACTTCCGATCCAGTGGATTGGCCAAGCAAAGTGACAACTTTCTGGTTCCCACTAAAACGGTCCAAACCCCTAAAAGTATCAACTCCAACTCAGGAAGCACACATCCCCACAACTCATTTTTAGAACCCCCCAACACTTTCACAAAGAAACAGGTTGCCCCCCCCCCCCCCCCCTTTTGAGGAACGCCCCTCTTGGCCCGTCTCGACGGGCTCACTCCGCCGGAAAGGCGTGTCCGAGCCGCTCCGTGCAGCCAGTTGGAGGAGCCGTGCCGCAGCATCTGGGCCACCAGAAAAGTGCCCAGGAGCATCACCGCCGAGTCGTACCTAAGCCGGGAACCGAGTCCCACAGACCCCCGGGCCCAACGGGTCCCACACGGGTCACACACGGCACGCAACATGGGCCCAAGGGAAATGGAACTCTTTGCTGCAGGTGGCCGACAACATGAAATGCGTCAGTTTCTCGGTTCTCAACCGCAAAAGAGGAGTATCAACTCCCAACACTAACAAAATGCCAGAACAACGTTTATCCCCAGGTGAAGATCAAAAGTTTCTCTCCACTGACCTTTGCCTCGAGAAATCAAGCCAAGGGAAGGGCGTCTCCTCGCCTCCTGGAACTCCCGTCCCTCTGCCCCACCCCAAAAAGGGAAAGAGTTGAGCAGTGTGACGCAATTCCAGGATTTCCGCCAAATAGAAATTCTAACGGTACCTTCCATTTCCATTCTTTCCAGGGATCCGAATCTTTTCAGGAAACCATCAAAAACCCAAGGGGAAACGGATCCGGTTTTTGAAAATAACGATGGTTGAAAAGAATGGGGAATCATTTCTTGGACTCTTGGTGTGTTTCCTCCATTTGCGCAACATGGGGTGGGTCCGAGGATTAGTCCATGTGGGTTTGAATAAGAATCACCCCCTGGAGAACTGCATGAAGGGTTTGCCTTGGCCTGTCTTGAGCTATGCGACCGGCGCGACTTCACATTTCACAAGGCCGGCCTAGTGTTGGAGCAACTCAAAGGGCACCTTCGAAACAGAGAACAACCATTTCCCTTGTGCGAAACACGTAAAGAGAACTGAAGACATGAGCTGAGCGGATTCGCAGAATTCCGGAGAGACATGATGGGCACGCCACAATGCCTGCATTTGAAGCCTCAACAAGCCCTGCCCTCACTGAAACGTCGTGACATTTTCAGATTCCGTCTCCCCGGCTCACTGCCTGCGAGCGGTCCCCAAACATCCCGTCTCTCTGCTCTTGCCCCCGGGCTTGAGGGGATCGCAATCACAACTCTGGTGGGGTTTGTGCCAGGGTGAAAACAGATGGCATGTGGGAAAGGGTGAGTTGCGCCAATTAATTTTCAGCAGTTCCAAGCCTATGCTTTTTCGCTTCTCCGAAGGGGCGCCAGCAACAACGGCCCGGGCGGGACAAAGTTAGTGAAAGCTGCCGATCCTCACCCTGAACCGGCACAATCGAGTTCTACATGTTTTGCTCAGGAAAAATGGACATTGTTTATAAACAGGGTTCTTGTTGAACGGACGGCAGGAACACATCCATCTGCAAACTCTTCAGTTCCAAATGAATGGATTTAACAATTTCCCCTGCGGGGTTGCAAGGTTTGACGCGTCACTCAAAATAAGAAAAAAAAGCAGATGTGACATGAATATGTTTGGCACAAGTATGAACATTTTTGGAGCGGATTTCACAATTCCTATAGGACCCGGACCGCATTCCGCATTCCCAAAACCCAGAGGCAGACCGGAGCTCCCGAATCTTCAAGACCAGCGGCATGCTAAAGTCCAAGGACATGGGCGTATCCAAGGCCCAGCCAGAAAACACGGACAAGGGAACCACCTGAGGCCGAACATGGATGCGTGAACCATAAGCGGTGGCTTGTCAACATGCTGGTGAACCATACCTAAGTTGCAAACATTCGAAGGTTGCGACTTCCAAGACTGCCCATGGAAAGAAAGGATTTTCTAGGGATTGATTCCTATTCTTTTCAGCCATCGTTCTTTTCAAACACCGGATCCGTATTCCCTGGGTTTCCAGAGGTTTTCTGGAAAGAAGGATAACGTACCCCTGATTTAGTAGCAAGAAGAAGCTCTCAGTTGCCCAAAGGACCCAGAAGTAAAAGGTTCGCCTGTTGGTGCCATGACCCAAAATGGACCACACAAGACGGCACCAAAAGATCAGATCCGGTCGATTCGCTTTGGGCAAGAAAGGGCTTCAAGGGCGGACTGGCTGACCCTCGGATCTTGTCAGCTAACTTGCCCAGAGGTTCTCTCGCACCTTGGCGTGAAACCGACCTTGCTCCAAAACTCGCGAACTCGCCTTGGGCTACCCTTAGATCCCCTGCTAAGAGTCCAACTTCTGGGCCAAATGGCAACCCCCGCGAAACCCGCGAAGAAGCTCACGAGCCTGTAAGGATGGCTGGGAGGCCCCAAGCGTTACCAGCCCCACTCAACTTGAGCCGAAAAGAACTGAACTTGTTTATGTGCCCACTAAGTTGCGAACACCTCTTCCCAACAAGTAAAATAAAGTTGACCCCATATTAATCAACCCCACTTTGTTAATAGGGCGTGTCTCCCTCCGAAAGTGATGATTCCCCACTAAACCCAGGGACCCCCCTATAAATGATAAACTGGGGTTGATTAATATGAAGTCAACGCTAATCCTCTATGTTCCCCCCACAGTCTTCCCAGGTCTTCCCAAAAAGTCTCATGTCAAACCTCAAAGAAGGCTGCAAGATAGACACTCTGTGTCCTACCTGAAAAAAATCCACTGAGCCATGCGGTTTCCCCTTGTGTCCCCCCCCCCCCGTCCCGCACAGGCACACCCCCCCCCCTTGCCCCCCACAGGCACACCCAACAGCAAGACTCTTAGATGTGAAGGAGCACCTTCCCAATACATAAAACATCACTCAGTGTTGCACGCAGCCTTGTCAGAAGTCTCAGATACCCACATGAAACTAGACAAAATGCCGGGCTTCTAAAGTTTAGCGGGCGAGCGTGCGCGCGTGAACGCAAGTGTGGCTGTGCAAGCACGCGGTCACATGGGCAGTTCAGACACATATGTCCAATTCAGACACATATATGTTTATACATTTGGAAGTCAAAGAGCGCATGTGCAGACATGATGTGATGTGAGCTACATAACCTGTGTGTGCATTGCGTCTGCGATTTTTGCAAATCCAAAAACCTGAAATTTCCGGTGTCCCAAAGAAAGAACCTATCAAGGGTCACTGGATGTCCCCTGCATAGTTGCAGTTTATCGGTGGGTTCCGACACCATTGCCACTTCCAAAGAAGGGAAATGGAGGGACCGCCTACATCATTTCAGACCCTTGGGCGAGCTCGCAATGAATAAATTATCAGGGTACCCCCGATTGGCAGTTCGGATTGGTGGCTTGTGGATTTGAAGGGTAAATGGGAAAACCCACCCCTTAACAACCAAACCACCGATCCAAATCACAAACTAGGGTGAGCCACCCCAAAGATACTGTATTTTTTTGGGGGTTTCCTTTTGAAACCACCCGAAAAAAAGGGGTTCCTCTAAAAACGGCAACTACAGGAAGCCAAACAAGCACGGCCTTAGGCCCTCACAAAGAGGGCGATCTGAGTCGCAGAGCCCACGGCCACGGAGATCGCAGAGTCCATCTCGTCCTTCCGAAATCAGAACTGCGATCCCCGAGAATTGCTGTGCTGACATTAGATCTGAAGGATGTTCCTGGACCTTGGGCCAACCACATTTGTTGGGATGTCTGAAGGATGTCCCACCTTGGATACAAGCTGCGCTCTCGCACTGGTTGGCTAAGGAGAATCGAGGCATTGAAAGAGACGGGTTGATTGGCCTCAGGCAACTCATCTTATTGGGCCATGGGCTCCCGCCAACATCAACATCCAGCAGCTCCATGATCTCAATGGTTTCCCTTGACAGGACCATGGGAGAATGAAAGTAGCACACTCCCCTTGTGGCCAACTTGAAAAGGAACGGAGCCATCTACCTTCAGCCACATATAACTGCCCGGAAAGCACCCAAACAGGCTCAATGCTCATTGGTGGTTTGGACAGTTGCCTCTTATTTGCTCCCTAAAAGCGGCAATCAGCTTGAACGGTTGTTTGTCACTCGTTTGCCAGGAAACCTAGGTAGCTTGGCCAGCTACGGGGCGGTGCAAACAAAAGAGACCGCCCGCGGCAGGGCGCGCCAAGTCGTTCTTCACACACTGCTCGCACCATGCACACATTTGCCAGGGCTGGTAAAAGCAAGATTTGAACCCTTGGTCAGTTGATGTCAGTTGATTCCATCTGTAGGAACGAACCTGCAAACAAAAAGGGGGACGAGCTAAGCATAGGCCCGACCTTCATCGCGTAGCTGACGGAAGCAATGTGCTCGGCGGTGTTGCCTCATATTCGCCCGAAATGAATAGAGGCGGCCTCTGTCACTCCCCACGAAGGGGGACACCACCCCCTAATCAACCAGGGGTTTAGCAACATCCGGGGATTTGATTGGATGTAAGAGGCTGCCTTTCTCATGCTTCAAGACATCCAAGCCACGAAGCAATGGGTGCCTGAAACAAGGACGTACAAGGGAAAAAAAGGACATGAGAACATAGAAGGAAGTAAAAGGACAAACAAACACTTGCAAGGACACACAAGGAAGTACAACGTACTCAGGAAACAAAGAGGGACATACAAGATCAAAGCACAACGATTGGCATACAACACCATACAAGGAAATAACATGACAAACACAAAGCAAAAAAGGGCATGCAAGGACATACGGCAACCTAGCTTTTAAGCGTGGCATCTGAGTAAAAATAAACCAATGGTAGTGAAACATCCTACCCAACACTATGTAAATAAACAGAAGGACCTTATCACTTCTGTGCATATCACTAGTGGCCCATGGGATGATGCCTCCTCATTCAAAGGAGAGTATCGCAAAGGTGGGGCTATTCCAACTCCAATCGGCCATGCGACTACTTTGCCACGTGAAAGGGGTCCTCCGGCTACAGACAGTGGCCACCCCCCCTGTTGCAGTACACTCAAACTGAACAGAACCAGAAACGCAAGAATCATGACCGTTTGATGGCTCCGCTCTCAAAATCTGCCTTTGACACCCATCATCACAAATGATGTTGTTTTTTCCCCCGTTTCGCAATGCAACCATGTTCTTTGTCCTTTTCAATTTCACGGGGGGTGTCTGCAAGCCCCGGTGTCGCCCTGGGCCGCCTTTTGGAGCTACCAAAAAGTGTCCCACGTTTTGAAGACGCCCGCGCTACTCCAAATAGATGCGGCATCTCAAGTACCTTTGGCAGGCTTGCTCCGAGCTATGAGCAATCCTTGTTTGTTCGTGAGCTGTTCTTCCCGCCCTTTTCAAGCAAGCCGCCTTTTGTAGGGGGCTGCCACAGCGGTCCACGCAAAAACTTGAAGCTGGCCCGGATGTTTAAAGCTACTAAGGCTAACTTCACGGCAAAAAAAGCAAACCCCACTCCAAAAGCTCACTCAAAAAACTAAAAACACCTGTCTTTCTCTCTCTCTCTCTCTTTCAAAAAATCGCATTCAAACAACTCAGCATGTTAAACCCCCACTCAAAAGAACCCTCGACCTCCGCCGACTTGCCGATGAGAACGTCATTTCCGAGGCGCCGAGGATGGGCAGCATCGTGGCGCCGATGAACTGCTGGGGCACGTGGAAGGTCTGCGAGAGGTCCTGGCCGCCGAAACTGCCGGCAGCGGCGGCGGGTGGCTGGGGGGCTTTTTTTTGTTTTTTTATTTTTATTTGTTCTCTTCCGCAGGCCTAAGGGAAGCCAAGCAACGGCTGGGGCTCGGAGATCTAAGGGAATCTACCTTCATGAATAGAGTTTGGTTTAGTTACAAGAAGGTATATGTCAATTTGCTTGCTTCACTTTAAGCCACTGGTAAAATGTACAATGTATCCTAAGTCGACCCCAGCCCTTGGCCTCCCCCCCAAAATAATCATAATAATAGAGGACCATCCACGTCAAGCACTTTCGGGCGATTTGTCGCCCTTTGATTCACTCCAGAAATTCAATGGAACCTGACGTTTCGGGGGGTCCTGATTTGGACCTTTCTCCTTTTGAAGGGACCCCCGAACGTCAGATTCCATGTTTAATTGGTGGGAGGGATGTCGAAGCCAAAACCGAACCAAGCCAGCCATGCAGGCTCGCTGCCTCGAGCTGATTGGTGGGAGCCTTTTTCTTCTCAGAGGCCCAGTGGCCATGGGGAAAAAAAGGGCGCCCTTTTCTGGTTGGGGGACCTTCTGGTTTTTGGTTGGTTTTTTGGTTGGGTTGGTTGAGCTTCAAGGGAACCCTTCCCCCTTTTAAAGGGGAAAAAGGGCACCACTTTTGGCCAAAGCTTTATAATTGGTTTGCGCACCCAAAGGGGTCATTGTTGGGTTTGGGAAAATGATGAGTCAGTCGCCTTCCCATTTCCACCCCCCCCCCCCAAAAAAAAAATGCTAACAAGCTCAAGTGACATCCCCAACAGCATGCGGTGCTCTTTTTAGTGCTCGTAGCCCTCGCAGAACCTCGTGGAACCCTGGTGGAACCCTGGTGGAACCCTCGTGGAAGGGAGACCCCAAAGCTTTCAGCTGTCGGGGAAAAAAGGGTGTCAACTTGTGTCAACTCTTGTTCCATGGTTGCAACCGCATGGGATTGGAATGTTTGGAGGTTTGGAACAAGCCAAAGGATCACTCGGCGAGACGGGTTACTGGTGGCTTCCATCGAGACCCCGGGGTACACCGCAGACCCGGTTGCCCAGTGGGGCAGTGGGATAGGGCTGGGTTCCCTAGTAGCCATGGCATATATTTCTTACCTGGCCTCAAAATTTGACCAGCGTCAAACGCCGATGGAGAAAGCCGTCCAAAAACAAGTCTGAGAATCTCACAATGAACCTTGACTTTAAGAGACCCAGACCCCAAGTGGCCAAGAGTAGAAGCCCTCACAATGAGCCGCTTCAGCGTTTCTTGCAAGGATGCATGCACAAAAAGAGGCCCAGCTTTACTGGAAAACCTCAAAACCGGCAGGGTAGAGGCGTCTTTGGATCCAAATTGCCAAATGCTTCCTGAAAGGGGACTCCGACCCCTAGACATTTCTGACCGAAGACAATTGACACATACACCCACACAGGCACAGATGTTTTGGGATCGTTGACCCCTCGTTTGTGGCTTGGGCAGGAGGGGTATTTTCCAGAAGCCAAGGGTGAAACCTCTGAACATAAAGAGGGGAAGGGGCACACTTGTGGCCCGCACAAACATTTTGTGCATTCCCTCCGCTGTTCTTCAGAAACCACCCACTGGCACCCAGTTCTTGAATTCCTGGGGTTTTGCGAACCCGGAACAATGAAAGCGTTGTGTTGCTTTTCCCCACATGGCTGCCCAAAACCTGGACATATTCCAGATGACCGACTGGGCCATGGGCAGTGGGGAAGCCAAACCAAAGGAATCCCACAGCCCGATTGACAAACCCGCAGAAAAGAAGCCACCGCCAGCCCACAGAACTCCGAGAAACTCCAAAAAGCCTTCAGCCCACCAACAGCCCAACAAAGCCTTCAACTCCAGGAACACCTCCAAAAGCCTCAAGGCTACCCAACTTTCGGTTTTCCAGTTGAACTTCAAGAGCCCCAAAGCGTTGTGCCGTTGTGTCTCGATTTTTTAGCCACCCCCCCGAGCCCAAGAAAAGAACGAAACCCTCCCTTGGGTGCTGTAGATCCCCCAGCAAAACGTTTAACTTTTTGCTGGTCAAAAGGAAATATGAGGGGAATCCGAGAAGTTAAAGTCCGAAGGTCCAACCAAACAGCTTTTAGTAAGCCCCCTTTTAGTTGGTGGCTTGGATTGGTGGTTTGGTGGTTTGGTCGGCCCGGGTGGTTTAGGGTTACCAAGCTAGTACTAAGCTGGAATTAGGACCCCAGCAACAACTATATCTTTTTTTGCCTGGTTAGTGGAAAACAAAGGGACCCCCAAAAAGCAAAAACGCAAAAAGGGGAGCTAATTCTAGGGAAGCCAATAGCAGCATTTTGAGCCTGGGGTTTCGATGCCCAGGCCTGGAGATGGTCCACCAGCACTTGGGAGTTGAAAGCGGCCACCGCGATGCTGGCGACCATCAGCAGGATGGAGGAGCCCAGCGAGAGCTGACCTAAACATCCCGCCAGCGCCGGGTTTGGTACGTACTCACCACCAACTCAGAAACCCTGGTTTCTGATTCGAATCCCCTGTAAATACCAATAAACAATGGTGTCAACCATGGTTTGCAAGTGGTGCATGTCTTCCGTCCACAGTAGGTCCCCCTGATTTCATGTTTTTTGCTCCTTGATTAGCAGATGCAAGTTCAGTAGCGCTTTTCCGCCCGGAGATATCCATCCGGATACACCCAATCTCCGCGCATTTCACGCCAAGGATCGGTGTGCACCTGGCTCCACACCCTACAACTCACATGGATACAGTTGTATGTATATATATATACACGTACCAATGTACTTGCACTATAGATATACGTAGATTTCATTGTTTGTTGCTTGCTTATTCATCTTCCGAAGGCTGCTTCGGGTACAGCCCTACCGGCACACCATTGGTTGGAACCCTGGGTGACTTCCAATCAATTGGGTTTGAACCAGTTTGGTTTGCATTGGTTTGGCTCCTCTCAGCCAAGTTCTGTTCGGATTTATTCCAAGCAGGGGGCCTTTGATCTCATTCCAAACCTTTTTTGGTTTGAACACTGCCTTGCAAGACAGCCCACTTGCGGTTCGTAGCCCTTTCGCGCATTATTTTACACGTCTTGGGCAAAGCCAGCCTGAGCTAAAACGCCTTTGCCACTCGCGAATTGTCAGCCTTGGGACCTGGCACCCCGAAACAAGCGCAAGAAACACAAATCCCCCCCCCCCCCCCGCCCCAAAAACATATAAATACATATATATATATAAATATAAATATAAATATATATATATATGAATATTAAAAAAAGAAAAGAGAAACAACCGCCCCCGCCCAACCCCAACCCACCCCCTCCATCCGAGAGCCCTAGGATTAGCATGGGCGGGTTCAAATGACAATTGCGTCCAAGCCACTCAGCTCCCGCTCCTGGATCGGTGTTTTTCTCACTAGCAAGCAAAGGGGCGCGATCTCAAGATGACAGCCAACGTTGCGTGGGCCTTTCCCCAAGCAGGACCGAAACATGCATTGTATGCAGTTTATATGTGTATATATGTATACATACACATAGCTGTTTATTTATACACATACCAAGACCCTTGGAGCCTCCTGGGAATCCAAAAGGCCGGAGTTGTGTGGCCAAAAGCTTCAAGGCTTGCCGCGCCGTCCTCCTCGCTCATGATGTGCTGCGCCTCTGCTGTCTGAAAGGAGGCCTGGCAAGCTGTCGCCCGAACGGCCGAGAGGGTCTCTGTGATGTTGACCCCTCCTCAACCAACTCCGGTTGATGACTAGGGGGTGGCTTAGTACTAGAGCCACTCTTTTTTGTTTTTTGTTTTTTAATACGGGGTCAACAATCGAGTGAATCTTTCTGGTGGCACAACATGCATCCCAAAGCTTGAAGACCCAAGCTTTGGGAAGCCATTGCCGACTCACAAACCGCTTGCAGGTGGGAAGCCATTACTGGATGGGTCGACCCGACGTCCTGCCACCGACATGTGATGAAATGGTTCCAACAAGGAAAACACACAATGCAATGCGCATTCGTCACTCCGCCCCTCCCTGCGCATTAGTTAAAGAACGGGTGATACTACTTACCTGCAACGCACTTCCTGAGTGGACTGGCCCAAAAAGTTCAAACTTTATGTTTAGCGCGAAACTTGTCTTCCGAACAAGATAAAGGTCCAAGGAGCAAGGCAAAGATCCTGGAATCCAAAAATGATCCCTTTGGGTCGCTGGCATCGTTGACCAAACTGGTAAAGCAGCAACTGGTCAAAAGCTCAGATAGGTTTTGTGCTGAGACTCAAATTCTGCCCCATGGAAAGATGCCCAAGAGGCCCAGAGACAAGGTGCACGCTTCTGAAAGGCCAGCCAAACGCTTAACCGCATCCATGGAAACCTTGCTGTGTTTGCCTTTCTGCCTTGCGTCAAGTCCAGTCAGAAGAAGTCCCTGCATAGTTCTTCCCACCCGAGCAAGCAACACATGAACCATCCTTTCAGTAGAAATGAGGTGACAGCGACCAGTAGAAATCCAATGGTCGCCAAAACGTCTTCCGGCCATGAAGTCTCTCCTTGTGGGTTTTCAGGTGGAAGTAGATGAAGCTAAAGTACAGGAAAATGAGGAAGGCCGCGCACACCCTGGACAAAAGCACCACCTCAGGCTTAGCTGCACGTGACAAGGCCCTCTTCTCCAATGCTAATGTCGCGGCAACAGGCGCTTACATTCATGATTTCCACTTCGGGCCGAGAATCACTTCGCTTAGAATCCTGATTCCCCAAAGCTGAGGCTTGCTCTTCACTGCTAGCAGTGCACATGCCTGTGTCAATGCGCAGCGCGAAAACAGGAAAAGCACGCACTTGAAAATTGAAAAGCTCATGGCAACATAACGAAGCACATGAGAACTATTTTTGCATCCGGCCAAAGGATTGAAAGCACGCGCCTGCAGAATGGATTGGCCCTTTCTGTGATACCAAGGGAGGTCTTCAGCCCCATGACTTTTTCACTTTAAACAAAGCCCCGTGGCCACGCACAGAAAGCGGCAACCTGGTTCTGGAAAATCAACACGGTCCAAAAGGGATCCCCCAACAGCTTTCAGTCGACAATGCTGGGGGCTTTGTTGGCATGGTAACTTGCGATGGGGTCCATCCCGAAATCTCAGCAAGGCTTTCCTCAGCTGAACCAAAACAAAGACACACAATCAAGGGATCAAACTACTAAGGGGCTAAGCGTCCAACAAGCTTCAGCCATTCTGTGGGTATGAGGACTACTTTTTGGCGAATGCAGGCTGTGGAATACCCAGAGAGCATCCATCTCTGGAACGCCCTGCGAGAACGTTATGGTTGCGATAGGTATCTGAGTGAGTGTGACTGAGTCCAAAGTCTTGGGGACCTCCTCCAAAGACCACCGCTTCTTTTGACCAAAGCACATGGGCCCAACCGACACGACCATTTTCTGCTTGGCTTTGTTGCGCCCTTCCCAAAGTCAGAGCAACCAGTTGATGTCTTGGCTCGCATTCCAAGCTGAGTCTCCGAGTCTCAGTTGAAACGCGCCGAGATGGGACACGGAGGGAAGCTCGCCAGTCTGCAAACGACACACGTCCGACATGTGGCGGGTTCTTCAAAACACCCAATTTGCTGATTTGCCGACTGGCGTGCAGCAACATGGCCATCCCATGCTCATTGGCTCACCAGCCAATATCAAGTATGTCCAAATGCTGTTGGTTTCCTTCGGAAACATGATCGCCCCGTTTCCAGAGAACCCCCATCTCAATTTCATCCTGTAGGAGTATCCCCTCAGTACAAGAAGGCTGGGAACTTTGCTGAGGAATTGTACAGTCGTCGTCTGCCCAAAAGCTTAAAGGTTGCTTTGCTTCCGAGCATCATGGAAGTGCAGAAAGAGGCTTGGAGTTTTGGAAGGCTTCCCTCATTAAGAGGCCCCCTCTGCCCACTGTGCCACTTTTGCTGGAAAGATGGCAATGGGAATAACGCACACACCCACACCCCTAATTTACTGGGTCTCTCGAAGTGTGATGCCACGGGTCATTCTGACTTCACCCAGAGAACTTCGCTTAAAACTTAAAATCATAGGTCGCGGCCCTTCAGCCCGAGCTGAGTCCAAGGTGCATGTTCTGCAGAAACACCCGGCACCGAGCAGAACATGGTCGGCAGAGTGATGCTGATTGCTGCCACCACCTGCCAGGGCTTCTCGAACTTATGCACCCCAGGAGTCAAAGGGAGAAGTCCAGAAGGCGACCTCCTTAAAGTGCTTGTCCTGTTCTTGCTTTTCTGGGTGGGGTTGGGGGAGGTGTACCATGTTATGTCTGCATGTCTGCAGCGGGGGGGGGGTTGAACTTTTCCGCATCACAGACACGCAGAGGACATCCATTCAAAACGGGAACCCGCACGGTGACGTAGTAGAGCACCCGGAGCGGATGCCTAGAGTCTGATCTGCTCCCGTTTGGCTTCTTGGAAGGAAGCACGACGCAACGAGGAGACCGGAAAGGTTCAAAAAGACGTCACAAAAGGCATGACATGCAGACCGAGAGCGTACCACAAGCAATTCTCGGGATGCCAACATCTTAGATAACGACTTAAATAAAAACTCCATGTCAAGCCCAAAGGCCAACCTGAAGAACTACGCCGGTGGTGTCTGGGTTCCTTTTGCTTTGCTGGCTTCAGCTCATCTATTGAAGGGTACGGTGATTCTGCACAATTTCTAGTACGAAGGTCATGATGACGAGGCCTATGACGAACTCCATGAACATCTCAACAAACCAAGGAACCGGTCGATGGCCATCTGCAAGTTCGGCCGGTGCATATCTCGCAAATGGGAGTGGGCCAACTTTCGTATGTCTTTTCACCTGGGCATTTGGGAAGCCATTAGTGAGTAATGACCATCAAAAAAGCCCAAACCCCAAACCCTAAGTCCAAAAGTTCAAGGTGTAGGGTTTAGGGCTTGGGACTTGGGGGTTTTAGGGTTTAGGGTTTGGGGGGTTTAGGGTTTAGAGACACCATTTCCAGCTGACTTGGACCCATAGAAGCAGAACCAATGCAACGCTCTCCTGGCCGCGGGAGGCTGGTCGATCCAAACGTACGACACCAAACAGGTCAAGTGCCAGATTCAAGAAAGGCTTACCATGGCTTACCTTTCCAACCCTTGGTATGGTACCTGGTGCTCAGTCGTTCAGTGACCCTGGAAAGAAGGGAGCCCTTCTGTGCTTTAGTGGGGCAGCCACACCCCCCCACAAAAAAGAGGAAACAGGGTGCCACCGAACAACTGAGGGTGTTTTGCAGCCCCCTTGCAAAAATGAACAGAACCCAAAACCACTGCCTTCAAACTTGGCTCGCCCTCCATATGGGCGTGTCATTTTTTGGGACCCCCCCCCCCCTTACCATTGGTCCTCCATAATTAACATGCCGGTCTTCCTTTTGGCTCCCCTTTACAACGCCCCAAAAAACACCAGCAGCCTCAGAAAGAAGGACAGTCTCGATTTCGTCCCTTTTCGGGGGGGGGGGGAAAAAACAACAACGAAACAATGGAGGACTTCTGCCCGACTGTCAAACAAAGCTGGAGGAGACACACCCTCTCACTCCCCACCCCACCCCCCAGGAACTGTGGCCCGAAAAGAATAGGCCAAAGGAGGTGACTTAGGGATCCCTTGCTTCCAGGAACCTTCCCACACTACTGTGAAATCCATTTCGCACCGAATCAGAAACCGGGGTTGCTGAACGGTGGTGCGAACATCGCAAGCATCCACAGTATGTTGGGCCCTATCGAGTGGATTGGCAGGGCAAAAAAAAACCACCAAACTGTTGGTTGCCACTGTAGACTGGTCTTCCCAAGAAGTGACCAGAGTCCATCATCTACCTTCAGGTGCTCGCATCGCCCAACGGAGGTGGCTCTTTCCCCTCCTTCCCCAAACATAGCACCTGGAGTGTACCTAGGTCCCCCAGTAGAGAGGTTAGAATCAGGGTACCAACTTTTCTCTGTAGTCCATTTTAATTGGGGAACCCCCCCGGCAACAAAGAGGTTAAGTAGGGCACCTAGTGAAAGGGATCCCCTGTGAGCTGCGATGTTCGTGGGAGGAGGGGCTTTCCCCATAGGCAAACCGCGCCGATTCGGCTCGCTCGGAGCTTGGACAAATCGGCAAGGGAAGCGAAGCCTGGCAGGACATCTGCGCGGCGGCGCCGTCGATGTTGAACTTGCAGTTCTTGGCCTTGGTTCCTGCGGCCGCGTTGGCGCCTGTTTGGGGGTTGGGGGGGTGGGGGTGGGGGGGAGTTGGGGGGGGGGTGGGGGGGAGTTGCGGGGGGGTGGGGTTGTGGAGTGGGGGAGGGGTGTGGGGTGTGGGGGAGTTTGGGGTTGTGGGGAGTTTTGCGGAGGGGCCTCTCAACTAAATGCACGGAGAGGGCACATCAATACGGAGAGGACACATCTCTAGAAACCAAAAGGTGAAAAGGTCGATGGCCTTTGGGCAGGTTGTTTTTTTCGTGGGAGCCAGGGAACCACCCATTTTTGTGACACAGACACATATTGGAGCGTGGTGTGCCTATGTTAACAGGGCAGGAGGAAGGGCAACCGACAAAAAGCAAGGGGTGGGGGGGGGGGGGGCGGGCCAAATCACCCATCCGAAAAGAGAACAACCACAAACCTTCCATTTCCTTCAGCCTGGAAAGCGTCAACATATGTCCATATGGTCCATATGTCTAGTGATAGATCCCCTACCAAAAATCCCAAAGTTTCTAATAAGAGCCATGTTGCGCATTGCCACGTTTACTTTTCACTGCCACGTTTGCCATAAGTAGTCCAGTAGTTTCGTCCCGTGTCTCAGACTCAACCCATGTTGCGCAAATGGAGGAACAGCCGCCAAGTCAAGCCCCCGAGCTCCGACGCTCTACTCACAAGCCCCGTTGCAACCCAAAACACGTCTCCTGCCGCGAAAATGGACATGCCCAGCACCAGCAGCAAGCACCTGAGTCGACGGAAGCGCTTGGGGACGATTCAAAGCTTTGGATGTGGAGCTCAGGAGCTCAATTCCTCCCCCCCCCCTCCCCCACAAAAAGGAGCAAGAGCTCACGGGATGGGTGGCACCTCCCAGCAAACATGGCACGCAGTTGCTCCGTCGGTAGTCTTCCAAAAGGGGTTGAAGGCGCACCAAACCATGTTTGTTGGAAGGGTAGTCTATCTTCCAATCGAATCTCAAGCAGACATCAAAGCACAAACCATCCAGCCACCCTGCAAACATGACAATCAAACGTAATTCTTAGCTTGACTCGCCAAACGTACACTTTTGCTGACATGAAATACGCATGCATTTCTGAGTTCATATAGGCAAACCACGGTAAGGAAATAACATTAACAAGGAATTCCTAGTGTTTGGGGGGGGGGAAGACAACATGCAGCTTCACCGAACGCAAACGACTCGCTCTGCTTTGAAAGATCGTATTTCAGGTTGCCGAACTAATCTTATCCAGTTGTGTTTGCGGATTGGCGCCCTTTCTCGCGAGTTGCCTGCAGCTAGCACATGCAAATGTTACTGTTGATAGAAGCCGTCTATGTTGCACTTGCAGCTCCAGTTTGTATGATGCACTGCTTGCTTCAGCTTGTATGAGGCGTTGGCATTGTGGCTCATTGTGAAGGTAGGCAAAGCGGTGCGAGCTAGCACACGCGACGACATCCCTGCGGGTCTGTCTCAAAATAAAAGAGTTCCTTTTTATCCATAAGTTATCCATAAGTGTAAGCATGTAGCCAAGCATGAACAAAGTCTTCCTGGTTGATTTCTTGGGGGGTGTCCTCTTTCAAATGGTGGTTTGCAGGAGCTTCGCATGTTGCGAACGTCAGGAGGCAGGGTCCCTCAAGTTCCAAAGTTGGCTATGCTTTTTGGATGGTCATGTTGACCCCAGAATGAACCGATTCTGTTGATAGGGGGGTGGGGGCCCCTCCAGTGATGAATCCCCACAAGCGGAGCCCCCCCCTGTGAATCAATCAGGGGGTTTCTCAATCCGGGTCAACATTACCCGTTTTGAGACGGTGTCAGTGGGTCCCCCATTGAGAACGAAGCCAATCTGCAATCCAGGCATACGCAGAAAACCGATTTCTGATGCCTCATATTTGTGTGAGGTGTCTCAAAAAACGGGGATCCCAAACTAGTTGGCATTCTGAGTTCCTATTAAAACCCAAAGTGAGAACCCCATGTCGCTGCCCCAAAATGCAACAAAGTTGGGAGGAGCTTTCCAACCCTTGGTATGGTTGCAAACAACCTCGTTGTTCTGCAGCCTCGAAAGATAAACATAACCAGGCAAGCAAGGAAACATAAAAGCAAAACAGTGAAAGGAAAGAAAGGCACCTCCAACTTAATTGACCTACCCTACATTCAAACATGAGGATGGAGGAGACCTCCTACGAAAAATACAACAGCAAGCACGTCTGGTGCTACACACGTTTTGGGCTCATAACACATCGCTCCGCCCGGGGGGCAACGGGACGCGGCTTCGCGAAAGCCGAAGCGCCAGTGCATTGAGCCCATGAGGTTCGCCTTCAGCACTTGCGTCAGCCCAGCCCGAAGGCACCTCAGGATCACCATGTTCCGTCGGTTTTTGTGTTGTTGTTGTTGTTGTTGGTTGTTTTTTTGGTGTTTGTTTTCTTGTTGCTTTATTTCTTTTTTGCTTAGTTTTGGTTTTTTGATTGTTTTCTTTATGCTTTGTTTCTTATTTGCTTCTGTTTGTTTTCTGTTTTTTGTGGGGGGGGGGCTGTTTTTTTTTTTGGGGGGGGGACCCCCTTTTACGGGGGGGGGGGGGGAACACGGCAAGCAAGGCGGGCGGTTTCAAGTTGCTTGCCACCGGTCACGCTGCGAATGACACCATTTGTAGACCCCAGTTGTTTGGCTTCAAAAGGAACAAATCCAAGGCGAAGCATTTGGATCTCTCGGGGGTTCGGATTTCGGGTAGACCTCAACGGATTCGGTTGAGTCAAGGAAGCCGAGAAGACCCGACGGCAATTGATTTGTCAAGTTGGGGGTCACCAATACCGGAGGGTGTCTGAACCGGGGCTTGCAAGGGGATTGGGGGCCCCAATGGTTGATTCGCAAAGCGCGGAGTCGAAGTCATGTCGAGATGGATTCAATTGTGTGGGCACACCAAATCTTGTTTGTTGACCCCTCTGAAAAAAAGCTTAACTTTTTGTGGGTCCAATGGACAATCCGCTACTTGCCAAAAAGCTGAAGTCCACAGATCTAACCAAGTAGCCAGAAATGTTTATACGATTTCAAACCATCCAGTTCATAAGGGATCAGCGGTGTGCAACATTGAGCCACCGATGTAACATTCGGGTCACGAAGGCGACCCCTTGATTACCTTCAGCCTCCAAAACCATGGTTTGGGGAGTTTTGGGCGGCTCCAGGCTAGCGGCTAGACCGCATGGCTCATATAAAGGGGTCCTTGTTTGGGTCACGTCTAAACAAGATCCCACACAATTGAATCCATCTCGACATGACTTCGACTCCGCGCTTTGCGAATCAACCATTGGGGCCCCAATCACCTTGCAAGCCCTGCTTGACCGTCGCCGCCTTGAGATCCAACATGTTCAAATGATTTTCCATCCCATGCGACAGTTGCTGCAGTAGCCGACCCTTTGGTTGCCTTTGCTGCGAGGGGCGAGGTGCAAGCCGAAAGCCAAGAGGCAACCAAGGGGACCCCGCCAGAGGCCTTACCACCCTCCTCCTCTTAACTCAACATGCCATTCACAAATCCTGGCTCACTGACAAAGGTGCTTTGGAGGCAACACAGCATCGCCGCCATTGAAGGGAAAAGGGGACACCCATTTTAGGGCCTTTGACATGTAAACTGATATCAACACCATGCAGAATGATGTCAACACATGTCCCCAAGCCATCCCATCTGGAGTTTCCCCTAGTTTGCCCCTACACAAGTCAAGAAACGGAATGGCAAACTTTCAAGCAGCCATATAGCAAAGATTACAACAATAAAGCAAGAACACACACAAATACGCCCAGGGAATGTCACCTACAGCATGGGTCCAATAAAAAGTCAGAACAACACAACAAAACAAACTCACCGGTCCAAAACTTGCTGGTTCTCAGCAGGGAATTAGTTGGAATGACCCCAAAAAAAACCATCCCGTATGGCTTCCTTTAAGGGAGTTCATTCCCAAAATCCGGTTCCCTACCTATCGCCGCAAGGCAAAAGGGGGAATAATCATAGCGTTTCGCTGGGCGATCCCGGCTGGATGGCCATCACCTGCTCCACTGACTTGCCCAAGAAGGCGTCGATGAGGCCACCTGGCAATCGGTCGAAAGACCGACTGAGATCTCTCGGCGTACAAGGCGCGGACGTCAGAAAAACCTGGTCTGTCCAAGCCAAGTGCTTATGATCGTTATGGGCCTTGACAACATGCTCAAAGGGTACTTCGACAATTGGTTGCAGGACGTTGGTCTACCCTTGGTATGGGCTTAGGAAAGAAGCAACCGACCGTTTTTGTTTTTTGGAGCCCGGCGACTAAGAATTGAGCAGAACCCAAAAACAACTAAACAGTCGAAAACACATGCCAGTGAAGAAATGTTGCCCCGGTTAGCTGACAGCCATGGAAGCTGACCATCGGACATTTTGGGAAGACCACTTTTCTGACCGCCCTGAACCTACGTCCAGCACAGTTGGACAGAGGGTGCCCGGGTATCCTTTTGTCCAGATTGCAGTCCTTCACTTTCCTAAAGTTACCATTTCTCTGGCACCATGCAACGTGGCAAAGTGGCCTCCCATTCTTAGATTCTTGTTCGACCCAGAAAATAAGAACAAGGGAAATGGCTAGCGAACGCAATCGCTTGCACTCTTGAAGCCAGCAATTCACGGGCAGGAAGCATGGCACCCGCTCAGTTTTTTCACTCACCTGAAGTCATGGCATGAGAAAGATGTTAGCTCGGGGCAAATGAGAAAAGATCCTTTCTATTCACATGCCTGAGCACAAAAGTGCCGGTGTCTCGAATTACCATTGCTGATCAGTGCTTCTCCTATTTCCCAAGAATCATGTAAGCGCCAGGGGGATGGTAGTCTTTCAAGCCCCTCCTGTCCACTTCCCATAATTGTTGGCACAGGGTCAATCACCATTATTCACCGAACGAAAATCAGAGTTTGCTACTGTGGATGGACAAAACACCACCTAAGACACCTGGAATGCTGATCCCCCTAAAAATGCCAGCAAACAATGGTTGTGCATGGTTTCAACGTGGTGATGGATTTTGCAACCATCCACAACATGGAAGCAGCCTTCATAGAGAAGACTGCAAATCCAAGTGTTTCGCAGGCCAGACGTATATTTCAACCAGTGGCTTATGAACCCTCAGTCGGTCAAGCCTCAAAAGACCGTCAAAGACTTCAGGCCGCTCTCACGGCCTGCGCCCTGTTGGAGTGGAAACGACTTTTTGGGGCTTGTTCTACAGGACCACCACAGGCAAAGCTCCTGTTTTCTGGGCTGTCCGTTTTCATGGAAATCCAACCACTAAGCACAAAAAAGCCAAAGGGCGAAGGAACCAGATGGCGGGGAGCCACCAAGTTTTCCTTATCTGCAACAGCTACCCAGCTACCCCTGCACAAGGGACAATCAGAGTTCGTCCCCTCACCCTGTTTCTTGTCCATCCGAGCCGCCGATGGTGGGGGAGACTTGCAGGCTGACGCATTCCACGGCGCGGTACTGCACATTGGCCATGCCCACAATGGCCTGTGACTGAGCCACACGTTTTTCACCTCCCCAGTTGCCCAATGAACTCTTCGAAAAGAAGAAGAAGAAAAAGAAGAAGAAGAAGAAGAAGAAGAAGAAGAAGAAGAAGAAGAAGAAGAAGAAACGGGAACGTGGCGAGGCAGAAGTGGGCAAGCCACCAAGCAAAAGGAGGGCCATGGGAAAAAGATCCCTTCAGTGGTGCCACGTGGTCGCACCAAGTATAAAGCTTGTCCAGGTCCTGCAGTAAAGATGTTAGAATAAGGATGCCCTTTTTTCTGTAGTTTATTTTAGTAGGGACACCCTCCCCCAAAAAAGGGTAAAAGGGCACTACTGGGGGACCTAGTTGTAGTCGTGTTCTGAGGAAGCCCCCTCCAAGAAACACGAAGGCATCGCGTGTCTGGGATGGTTTCAGACAAGGGGCAAAGAAGTTGATGATGCACACGACCAGCGAGTTCCTGAGCGACCATGGCAGACACAAACGTAGCTTCCAGCCGTGATGCGCGCGTCAGATCACCAAGCAATGGTTTTTGCACCTCAATCTGTTGCAGCTGCCTTCATTAGCCAAGTTGCCCAAAAGGGAACCTGCACACCACCCTTTTGAGCAGTAATTCTAGGGGAAATGTTGAACGCCCGAGCTGCCACTGTAGAGACCCACCATTTAAGCGTGCAAAGACTCAGAGGGAGTGCTGCAAGCAGGACACATGCAAATTCTGCCGTGGGGGCAACGCGTCCAAGACACTCCGTCGCCCCTGGGCATGTCCCAGCTTTGCATCGCTGTCTGAGTCCAAAGGGTTTGCTGGAGGAGAATCTGAGGGCACTGGGGGGGAGGGGCCTCACATGTCCTCCAAACCAACCCTTGGACTTGATTGCTGCTTGCCATTGTTGCACTGCTCTGCCTACCAAGCCCATCATAGGTACCTCTTTACCAACAAACCCTCTTGCGACGTCTCTACTGCCTTTCTCCAAATCCCTGGGGAACACTTTAAACCTGTCGGATTCCCTCAAAGCAGTCCCGCCCTGAAGGCTCGCAAGATCGTGGCTCAGTTGCTTTCTGCTCCCTGCTAAAAGATTAACTTGTAGTGGTTTAATGGAAAGCCCGCTAGTTGGCAGAAAGTTACAGTCCCAACATCCAAGCAACATTTTCACCACAGGCGGCTTTGATTTCTTCTGGGTACCTGGCCACGTGTCCTGCCGAGGCTCCACTGCATGGTTCGGCCCATGAATCCAAAGGGCACCAGCGCTAGGAGGAGGCTGGTGGGTTGGCAAATCACTTGCTTGTAGCCCTCAGCGCGGGCCCCTTCAAAAGACACAAAAGGTGGAACAAGGAAAAGGGAACCGCGTGTCTTTTTGAGTGATGTTGGACCTGCCCTAGTACTGGGGGGTCGCTATTATCAAAGGAAGCTTGGAAGGAATTTCCGTGTTGCAGGCACGAATTGAAGGCAGTTTTGCCCACGGATAAGATGAAGAAAGAGTGAATGCGTGCTAGACAACATGCTCGGGCATGTGGCGGACCCTGCGGGTTCAAACATCTCCTCATATCGACCCCGAAACGGACGACGGTTTTGGGACGGACCCGGGACCATTGGCAGGGGCGCGCGGCCACTTCTTGCGCGTGGAGCTTGCGTGACACGCAACATATTGCGTGGCAGGCGCAGCACTCTGTTGGATTGGTGATCGGAATCGTGACAGACGCAAGTCTTTGGCAGCCTAGAGTGTCGATTTCGTAGCATGTGCAGCGCCTCTTGACTGACGCGCGACAGGCGCAGCAGCACGGACGCGTCATACAGTCCCTTGGCACAGGCGTGCAACCCGTCGTCGCAGCGCTTTCGCAAGGAAAGCGCAGATTTCGCGGTTGGCGAAACACTTTCGCAAGGTGAGGTGCAGATTTCGTGGCAGGCGTGGCACTCTCGGAGCAGGAGATAAGGCATTGTGTAGATAGATAGACTCCACAAGTCAGACATAATGTTTCCTTCCCGCTGCAAAGAATCTTCATGGGACAGCTCAGTGTGACGCCCCCAAGTCAGCTCGTTAAAAGTGGCGTTGAGACACCCAACACACAATACCCAGCACACAATCAATACAGGACTCCCTGAACGGGCGGTTTCCTTCTTCAACGGCCCCAAGGAGGTACCCTATGAGCCCTCTTGCTCTAAGGCCCGTTTTGAGCAAAAAAGTCGAAGCTTCTGCGTTGAGTGGAAGAGCCATTTGTTTCTTGGGGCGATTCGGTCACACCAAAGACCCAATCACCACGTCTTTAGAGAAACATGGCACCTTCAAGAGGACTCCGTTATCTCCATTAGCGACGGTCTCAAATATGTCTGCAAGAAGGTTCTCTTCAAAGGGCCGCATGGTTCACTGGGTACTCTAACAGGACTGGGCAATTCTGAGCAACACCGCTCTGGTCAAACACAATTTAATGAGAGTCCAACATCAGGACAAAACCCTGGCAACTGATCGGCACCAACTCTGCCGCAAAACACTCTCCGCTCCAAGTCTACCCAAACAAAAATACCTTTGGATCCTCAGTTGCCCAAAGGACCTGGAAAGCAAAGCTTCACCTTTTGGGAGCTTTCTACTGAAAATAGGCGCCACAAAATGGCGCCCGAGGTCGATGCGCCGAGGTGTGTCCTTCCGAGGGGCTTTGATCTCCCGCTGCAAGAATGGGACCTCTTTCTCCTCCGAGGTCGTGGAGTTGGTGAGCGAGGCGGTGCCCTGAGCTGGCTCCGAATGGCATCCAGCGGAGCCCTCCTGGTGGTTGATGGGACGCTGCGCTCACAAGGACCAACCCAAAGAACCAGCCCTGCAACTGAAAAAAGGAGGACACGCAAGGCGAGACTGATATTATCTGGAGCAAAGTGCACAGCAATTCGTGTCGGCAAATGCAGGTTGCAATTGCTTGACGAATCGAGCAAATCAACAAGGGATCACGGCATTCTTCAAGTGCCCTCTTTGCACCAATCAGTCTCCGATAATGAAGGGTCCGATCAATCGACATTGGGTGTGTCTTAAAAAAAGAAGAGAACATCAAATCGTTGGTGTCCATTTGGTTTCCTCTTAAAGCCACCCCCAAAAAAAAGGAGCACCCTCCAAAAAAGACACACCCATGGCTTGAAACTATTGCACGAAAGGAAGCCGGCCCTCTGAGCCTGCATTTTCTGGTGCCAAAGGGGAGTAATTGTTTTGAAAGGGAAAGCAAAAGGACCACCACGCCGTTTTAGGCGTCCGCTAACAAAGGCACATTTTAAGGGTAAAACCCTTAAGAATCAGCAGGCCGGAGATGTGCTGGCGGAATTCGCTCGCTCTCTTAGGGCCCGACCCTCCGCACCGGCACCTGAGTTGTCAATCTTGGGGCCATTTTTTTCCTTTTGGGGCGATGGCGTGGGAGCACAAGAGGAAGCAAAAAAGGGGGGAACGCTGGGGGGAGGGGTCAAGAAAGAGAGCCCATCCCTTCAATACTCTCCCCCCCCCAGGGTTTTATTATTGGGGTCTGCAGGTGTTGGGCCAGAACTAGCTTTTCTTGTTTCGATTTGCGGAAACAAAGCTCAACGTGCAATTTCCGAGTAAGAACGTTTAAAGGGAAGGCGCCCTAGTATTAAGGAAAAACAGCCCTAGAAAAAAGACACCGGATCCAACAGAAACCTATTCATAAAATAATAAAAAAAAAAACATCTGGTTTGTTTCAAAGAGACCCTCGGAAGGGAACTCACTGAAAACCCGAATAGCGCGGAAGGCAACCCTTGGGTTTGAGGGAAAAAGCGCTCAGACTGCAACGTTGTCAGACCAGGGTGGCCCGGTTGGCAACCCCAGGTGAGGAAACAGCTGGTGAATGAGAGAGCGTGTCCCAGTTTGAAGCCGGCAGAATCTGATTTGAGCTGGGCCTTCCAATTTCTCTCTTCACTTTGGTCAGGACCCGGGCATCACAGAAGTTCATGGACCTACTGTGCATGGACGAAATCCTGCACCACCTAAGAAACCCTGGAAGGACGCTTCCCCCCCTTTTTTACCATGCTTTCCAATGCTTTTAAAGTGGTGCCGGATTTCGTCCATCCACAGTATCCCTGGATAAGCCAAGGGTAAGCCCCCCTCCCCCAAAAAAAAGACAACAAAACAACGCATTCGCCCCCCCCCTGGGTCCTGAGAAGTGTGAACCGACCCCCGCGCAACGAGGCAGGGGCCACAGTAAGCCTCCCCATCGCAGGCCTGCGCTGATCGAGTTTCTCTCCATGTGACGAAGCCCCTAACCACTAACATCTGGGTCCTCCAGCAGCGAGGTTAGAATAAAAATACGTACCCTGTTTCTGTAGTCTATTTTAGGGGAACTGAATCTCCCAACTAAAAATGGGTGAGAACGGGAACCAATTGCTGGGGGACCTAGACATGATCCTTCCCAACAGTGAGTCCATGAACTTCGGGAGTGAGATAGTCGGTTTTTCTGGAGCATTGGTTGGATCTTCGGGATTGGGATGTGTGCACAAACGGTTCTGGTCTCAAAATGGTGCTTTTTCCAAACCACCCCAAACGAGTTTCGCGGAAAATCCTGTTGAAATGGCATGTCGGGTGCATGCGCTGAAGAGGCGAAACCCATCGCAGGAGTCCACCCGTTTCCTGGTCGGAACCTGTGATTGGACATGCAGTTTTGGGTTTGGAGCGCAGTCTGCACTTGTTGGGCAACACCGCCAAAAAAAGCGAGGAGTCTGCACCGTTTGTGGGCAAGTCGCAGCAAACAAGCTTGCTTCTTGAAGCGTTTTGTTGAGGCACGCCTCGCTGAAAATCAGCAAAGAGGCTCAGGGAGAGCCTGGTGGTGGCATTACCACTGCCCCTGCAAGACCAACGCGCCCTTCGATTGCGGCCGACGAAACATCCTACAACCACTCGCACTGCCACACAAAAGTGCAACAGTTTCCACAAATCGTCAGTTTCCTACCCTTGATATGGTAGCAAAACACCTGGGTAGTTTGCAGCCCTCTAATTACTAAATATGAACATCACATACAGAACTCAACAAAATACACAAACGACTTGCCAACAACAGTGAAGGAAACAATCGTCTTCAGCAAGGTGGACGCTCACTTTTTTTGCTTTCTTCGGTGAGCTATCCCTCAAGGACCTCAGCCGCCGGCAGAATGACGGCGCCCTGCCTCTACTTGATTGGTGCCGGCGTGTCTGTGAGCCCGAGAGGCTGCAGACAGCTTGTGCCATGAATCGAGAGTCAAGTTCTGCTTGTCGCAAAGGTCCCTCCAATTACTTGATTTCCTGTTGGTTCCTTCAAAACCAACTCAGAATCCAAAGGAGGCTCCCCAAAAGAGACAAACCCGTTCCGATTCTGGTTCCAATTTCGCCCAAGTCGCCCCAGTGGCAACCAGCGACAACGTAGAAAAAGCCCACAGCTGGGGGGAAGCTGAAATCGGGTGTGTCTTCTTTTAGGGAAACTCCTGTTGGGTTGGCTTTTTTTCGGGAATCCAAAGGCCAAACTACCCATTTTGGGGGTCCGCAGAAAACACACATGCCCCGGGTCTGGGAAGGCATGAAACTGCTCACAATTTCAAGAACTGGGCATCCTCCCTGCAGCTCAGATGCCCGGTGCTGAGGAATTGGACGTCTTTTAAGGCCTGAAATCCACCTTGGGTCGCAAAAATCCTCAGGAACCAACTGAACTGGGTCAATGGGCTCGTCACCCGTCCAAGAAAGCCATACGGCTCAGAAAAACCCAAAAGCAAGCAGCAAAGACATACCCTCCCCTAGGAATCTCAAACGGCCGCTTTAAACCATAGGGGTGACAGGGTTTTTCTCCAAGAGGAAATAGATCTTCCAAGTACCTCGGCCAACCGCTCCATCCTCCCGAGAAAACAACAATGCTAGGGCCTCATTTGTGTGTGAACGTTCAGCAGCGAGTGGTTGCCAATAATCCATCATCATATTAGTCCATGCCACCAAGCTTTAACCCAGATTTGGCCTTATTTGGCTTTGACGGAGCTTCGGCGAATCGTTTTCAAGACATCGATCCAGAAGGCCCGCGAACAAGATCTGAGAACCCTACTGAAACCTCCATGTAACTTACATGGAGAAACCTCACTTCAACACCAAAAGTACCCTCCCACCATGGCACCTATCGCACCTAGCAGTTGCCGTGTGGAGGGGTGAGCCCTTTGCACACGCGCCCTCCTGGCCTCCCATCTCCTCCCTGCGCGGTGCGTTGAGCAAAAAAACGCAGGCGACCCGCAAAAGGATGCGCCCAAGGGTTGTGAGGTGAAGACCCGGGCAAATGACTCGACCAATAAGTCACAACACAGGAGTAAGGCATTATGAGTGAGCTCGTTCCAGACAAATCATTCATATCTGATGGAGTGGGGCTGTCTTCTGATCAATTCTTGAATAGGTTCACCGCGCTTTTCCAAAGCTTCTGTGTCCAAGGCTATTCCCCCTCCTAGATTCCACCTGTCGCGTATTGTCATTGGTTGGAAGGGAAAGATGCTTTCCGATCTGATGCACCTTATGCCCTATGTTCCCCCTATGCATCTTAGCTGCCAAGGACCGAGCGTAGAATCACAGCTTATCGATGGCTCCGTTAGAAATAAAGGGAAAGGGTAGCCACTGAACAATTGGAACCTGGGAAGGCTGCGTAGCTGCCTATCCCAAGCGAGATGCAAATTGTTCGAAGGCAGAAAAGGAGGCACACGCATGCACGCACGCTCACACACACACACACATGCACACACAGACACGCACACAAACACACGCACGCACGCATGACCTCTCGTACAAGCACACGGACGCACACACACACACAGACAGAGACACAGACAAAAACAGACACACACACACACATGCTTGGTCTCTGATCATGCTCGCAAAGTGTGTGTTCCGCCTGGGAAGGAAGGGGATCGCAACCACTACCGTCACCATCACACCACGCACCACGCCACACACCCCGCAGGGCCGCCGTGACCCCGAAGGCGGTTTCGCGCGCTTACGCATCGCGGGCCTGTCTCTGTTGGGCCGAAGGGTGGCCCTTGCGCCATCCGTGGCATAGCGCCGGTCTGGACCTGGGGCTCAATCACCCCCGGGGTTCTGTTAAAACAAACAAAAACACACACTGGACCCTGAAACTACCCAGAAGAACCGTCGTTCACCACATGCTTTTGAGCAATCTCCCCATGTTTATGGGAATTTTGGGTGTGGGGTTCTGTTAAACCTCCATTGAAACAATGGGGGTTGATATAACCAGCATTGTTTACCTTAGATCATGACAAGCCATTTAAGAGGGATTCTTTGAGCCCCGCCCGTCCACTGCGGCTACTTTTCAAACACATATTTTTTCAACAAGCTGCGCCTGCCAATGAGTTGTGCCTCCGCAGCCCTTCACTCTGCGCAGCGTCAAGAAACTCTTTGAATCCACTGGCTCAATCACTCTATTCATCCGGGCTGAGGCATCCGCCCACAATATCGCTTTACACACAAGAAACTCGCAAAACAACGAACCCAACAAGTTCCTAAAACGTGGGACCTGCGTAGAGGAGCCAAACCAACAGGGAAAGTGAGCACCACAATGTACGTCTTGACTTGCCCCATACTTTCCCTCGACCCTGCGAAAAGCAGACAGCAACGCAAACGAAGTGCTCTGGTGATTGAAATGAATGTGCCCCTCTCTCGGGCACCTTTCAGCTTCCTCCCATGGAGCCCGGTGGTTGGAAGGTAAGGCTTTGCCAGAACCAGGGGTTCAAGCCATACCAATCCCAACCACCCAGTAGGGGTTCAATACAAATGCGAAAGAAAACATGGCCGCAGCGGTTTTGTATGTACCACACCCTGCGAGCACGCCGGGACAATCCACTCGCTCGCCGTCTTGGAATTTCAGCATGCAGTGCAAATGCCTGGATGCCCTCACAGCTCCCGGAAATCCAAGCAGTTTGGCTTGTCTCCCGTTGAAGGTCTGAATAGGTTGGACTATTTCGGGTCATTTCCCCCCCAAAAAAAACCCAAGGCAACGTCGAAAATCTGGAGGGCCGTGCTACGCAGGAATGGTCCCCACGAACAAAATCATTGAAGTTCCGTGAGTTCCTCTGATTTGTGTGGACCTGCGAAGTAATCCAAGTTGGCATTACAATCATGACTCGGCCAAGGCTACCCCCCCAAGCAACAATGTAAGTTTTTGCTGGTTGAAAGGAAGCATGAAGGAAACAGAGACAAGGGCAACGTGTCAAAAGGCAAGCTTAACCTGGCAGTGCATAAAGCGGCCATGATTGCTTGGCGTCCTGTGCCAGCATTTGGGATGGTGACGAGGCAAGCGAGGTCTGGCAATCGCCAGAATGCAAAAGGTCTGAGAAGTACCGATATGGGACAAATCAGCTGTTGAGTTGTTGGGACTCCGATTCGAGAACATCATTGGCAGCCGGAAGCCTGCGAGCTTCAGGTGCTCTGTCGGTTTCGGGCAACTCACCGATTCCGGGCAGGTGGGGGGTGGGGGTTGGCACTTTCAGATCCAAACTCTTCTTGGCTTGAACGGCAATCGTGCACGGCAAGAGTCTTGTCCCAGCAGCTCAACACATGATTCTTCCCATGTCAGCAATCTCCAGCACACAAGAAAACAACAACAACCGGCCATGGTCCAAGGCAAAAACGTCTGGGCCGTGTGGCTAAAAAAATGAAAAGGCCAACAAAGAACCCCCCCCGCAAAAAAAAAGAAAAAGAAAAGGAGAAAACAACAAGGGGGGGGAAACATCCGCCGGTTGCTGAGCCCTGGGCGATCCTCCTCACGTCCTTCACGCTCTCGTCCTCGCTTCTCCTCCCGCTCCGCTCCCGGCCGACCTTGGAGGTCGGCGCGTGACTTTCGAATGGCGTGATGGCGGTCCAGCGCTCGTACTGCCGCGCCCCATGTGGGTTTGGAATGTCCAAATTGCAGCTTCCCTTGAGGTGAGGTGATGGCAAAGATGCCCTTTCCAAAATTCCAAATGAAAAAATCAAGAGGAGTCCAGGTTGGGGTCCAAATCCCGATCTTGACGTTCCAAAGGTTGAAATCAAGAGGAAAACCTCCAGGTTGGGGTCCAAATCCCTATCTTGACGACATGTGTTGGCGAAAACCCCTTCCACACACAGAAGGTATTCGTTTTGGACCTGGCATTGAGGGCAAAATCCGCTTTGCAGCTTGTGGTGGGTTTGGACGTCAAAAAGTGGGTATTGGGTTCCGTTGCTTTTAGTCAACGTGCATGTGCCCAAAGAATAGGGAACGTTTCTGCAGACTGCCATGGTACACGGCAGAGGCTCTGTAAGGCGATTCCTTTCACCGAACCTCACAAAAGGCTCTTGGCTTCCGTTTCAATACCATCCAAAACGGGCCCTTTTCCCATTTTAGGACACCGGCATATTACACGACTTATGACAAGTAGGGCTTTCATGGTTCTGTGCGAGAGCAAAGTCATGCAATATTTAGGGATGAACTTGCGCCCTGGACGTAATATCAGCAACTTCACTCCTAGCGGTACATCATGACAAACAGCTTGTGGCTCGAAAAGGGACAACTCGTCCTAGCCAAAGATTGAGCCAGTGGGTGGATGAAACCTTGCACAAACAACAAACAAACTAGTTTCTGATTCAATTCCCCAACGTAAATACCAAGCAACGTTATGTTTTCAACCATGGTTTTATTTCGTGGTGCGAGAAGCGGATTTCGCAACCATTGCACCGTTGCTTTCCCGACGGTTTGGGGATGAGGCGTTTCTCTGCTTCGCGTCGCAAGCTTCTCACTCACTAGGCAAGGCTTTCCGTCCCACTAATTGACATGGAACCTGACGACGTTCGGGGGGTCCTGGACAATTTCCTCTTAAAGGGACCCCCGAACGTCAGGTTCCATTTAATTGGTGGTAGGGTACTTATCGGCGAACAAGTAAAGATCCTTTACCATGCGCATTTTACCCGGTGCCTGGAAATGATTTTAAGTATTCCGCCATCCCCCCTACCTGAGGGGGGGAGGGAGTAGGGGGTCCCCCGTTCCATTTATCAAGTCCTCCCCCTGAAAGGGAACCACTTGCCATTTTACATCTCTACGCTTTCGTATTTACAGGTGCCTTGACTTGGAATACCCCAGCAAGAAGCCGCTCAGTTAACATGTCCCAAATAAACTCAAAGAGGAAATTGCCGTCTCCTTACGGAAGTCTGATCGGTAGCTCCTTAGCTCCGTCTTTACGGCAAGTTTGGATACCCCTAGCTCTTTACCGGCTCCCCTCACTAGCTAGCCTCCAATTGCTCAAGTCTCCTGGAACAGTGATTAGACTCCCCTTTAAAAGCCAACAGGGGAAATCAACCACTGTCTTCAGCACATGGAAGGAATGGCCTGGATGATGATACACTCCCCTCTAAAAGCCAACAGGGGAAAATCAACCATTGTCTTCAGCACATGGAAGGTCCTCCAGTAGAGAGCTTAGAATAAGGGTACCCTCTTTTTCTGTAGTCTATTTTAGTAGGGGAACCCTCCCAACCAAAAAAGAACTGGGCGAGAAAGTTGGCACCTAGCTGGGGGACCTAGTCGGCTAAAGAAACCACCACCTCTGTGCAAGACTTATGCTTCCCCCTTGACACGAGCAAGACACCAAAGACGCCATGTGATCCGAGTGGGACATTGCCATTGCCTTCAGCACACGGAAGGACTGGTCGCTCCCTCACTTCTCCCCTCGGCTCGCTTGGCTCCGGGCGTTCCCGGTCGCGGTCCCGGTCATTCCGATCCCGGCGCTCGCGGTCCTCGCCGCGGCGGTCGCCTGGCGGTGGGAAAAAGGCCCCGTTTCAGGCGGAGGTTGGTGTCGTTTTTGTGGCTCTTTCTGCTTCTTTTCCAGGGGGGGGTGGGGGGGTGGGGCAAGACCCTTTTGCAGCTCCACGTCCAAATTCTGATGGAAGCGAAGCCAAGCACAGTTTACAGCGCTTGCAGCTACCATGGGGTGAGAGCAAACACTGTATAGCACCAAGTCAAAAGACGTCCATCCCCAAAGTGCTTTTTGGCTTTCGGAAAGATATGGACAAACAACTCCAAAGTCATGTTGAAGTACCACATCCATACCCATCCAACAGGAAAGTGCACAGGCTTCTCCAAGTCTCTGTTAGGGGTGGCTTCCTCTTGGTTCCGATACCCCACAAAGGGTCCCCGTCTGCGCGGAGCGCTTTGGATCAACCTTTCGGGGTGACTTGGCCCGTTAAAAGGGCATCAAACTTGGACCTCCCTCAACATGGGACCCTCCGCTTGAATGTGGCTCCGGGTCAGGACCAGAGGTTTTGGACCTGGGCCCGTTTTACGCTTCTGAAGCAAGGAGTACAATACCTCCTGAACCAAAAGTTGCGTGGTTTGGCCCCTTCCAAGCGCTTTACAGAGGCCTGTCTTTGTCAGGCATCGATTTCGATGCGTCTTTTGTGGACCCCCTTGAAAATGTGTCCTTTTGTGAGCTGGAACCCCCTTGTTGGGGTTGGTCTTAAAGCGGAATCCAAAAAAAACCACCCGTTGAACGGGAGTCCCTCTAAAAAGGACACACACCCAATAGCAGACTCGCCAACAGTGACCTCCGCAAGGCACCACAGAAGGCGATGGCACTGCATGTGCCTCCGCCATGTTTGGCTCTGGGCCCAGAGTCACCGCACGTCAGCCCGACTCCCGTGGGCACCCTTTTTCCGATAGGTTTCAAGGAGGTCCCCAAGGGAAAGAACCCCAGGCACCACTGAAGCCCTACTCATCCTCGGACCTAGGCATGAATCAAAAGCCGGATTGCATCAAACGGGCAAAATCCGCATGCCTTTGTCCTAAGCAGACCCGAAACCAACCCTGAACCAACCCTGAACCAACCCTAAACCAACCCTAAACCAACCCTAAATGGCCCCCAAACCAACCCGATATCAACCATCAAACAGGCAAACTCCGTGCCGTTGTCCGATAACAGCAACCCCTGGCTGGGCCCGCATCCCGGTTTCCATTTTGCGCGCGCTCACCAAGCTGCAAGCTGCGTGAGACTCTCACTCCGAGCTGGCGACCGCCCTTTTGGGACTGATCGTGGGAATAGCGCTGCTTCTTCACCAGCCAACATGAAACCCACTGTGGATGGACGAAGTCCATTTCGCACCACCTAAGAAACCCTGGAATGATGATTCCCCTGTAAATATCATCGAACAATGGATTCTCTGAGATTCCAAGTGGTGCAGGATTTTGTCCATCCACAGCATGCAAACACAGCTGCGGGGCTGGCCAAGAAGGTGAGTTCAGCCAACAGGATAGCAAAAAACACTTCGCAGTCTTCACCAGAACATATGAACCACGCTGAACAGGGTTCCTTCCACTATACACCTGAACATTGCAACTTGTAAATGGTGGGTTCCTTTTCTTTTGGTGTTGAAAAAGAATCAACATGTTTCAAATGGATGGGCAAAATGGAGATCTTTTCAGGAGCCCTGCTGAAAAAACCCAGGAACTCTACCCGGCAGCTGAAACTTGGCCTCGCTTTTTGAGACCGCTGCGAGTTGGTCCAGGGCCCCCTTCTGTTGCCAAGCTCGCCGGCTTTTAGGGTATCAGGTCGGATTCTCTGCTAAAAAGGAGGTATTAAACTGAGGAAAACCGTAGGTTTTTACAGAACATAATTCTAAAAAGGTATTTGGGGTAGGGGCAAAACATTACCCCACAGGACAAGCACGCTACATCGGCCCGCTACCCGCTAGGGCATTTTTGAAGCTCTGATGGCAAACGAAGCCGCAGCCGCCGTCTGACTGTAAGGATCAGGACCAAGGCAGACTGGGGAAAGTTTATCTAGGGTCAAGCAATGGATCACTTTGGAGGGGTTCCTTCGGTATTGCCCAGTCTCAGTTGCCCAAAAGGATCTGGAACAAACAGGTTGACCCTCTGGACCTTCACTAAAAATGCACCAACGAGCGGAAACAACAAGAGCCCAAAAAGGTCGATTCGCTTTGGGCAAATGAGTCATTTGTTCAAGACCACGCTCAAGACTCTTGCGGACCCTTCTTGCGTATACGTACAGGCTCACTCTGCAACAGGAGAGTTGAGGCATGGATGTGACATGCCAAGAAAGGATCGGATCTGACAGTATTTACTTGAGAGGCGGGTGCTGTTCAAAAGCGCCTTCCAGCCCAACAAAACGTGTGCGACTCACTTGCCAAGATATCAAGAATAGCAAGGAAACTTGGGTCAGGTCCTCATGAAATAGATCCCCTAGCCAAGAATCACGGACATGTGGACGAGATTAGAAGCATGTGCGGGCAGTGGGACAGAGGGCGGGGGGGGGGGGGGACCATGCGGACAAATTCTTAACCTTGTGAAGACGACAAGCAATGAAGCAGGAAGGAGGCCTTGGTCAAAAGGTCGTGTCACGACCTGATTGGCGCATTCCGGCAAGTTCCACATGGAACTCTCAGAAAGGTGCCCTAAGCTTCCTCTACCCATGTTTTATCATGTTTTATTTGGGTGGGGTTTGGGGGCTTTGGGGGTTGGGGGTTCCATGTCAATCTGCAGCCACTGGCCACTGCTCCGCACCTACCGCTCAGCTCGGTCCTGGCACAAATCGGCCATTTGCGAGGTCCAGGTAGTTGAAGTGGCCCCAAATCACAAATCTAATCTCAGGTCGCACTCACCCGGCAGGTCATGACGACCCAAAGGTCCGACGGATGGAAGCAACTCAGGCGATCTGTTTGATCCCCAGTAAAATGGTTGATCCGCTGGAGGCCTAAATTAAGGGGACAAGAAAATCCCGAATTTCACCGTGATTTCCCGCGCTTCTGTGATTCAGTACGGCAAGCTGACTTACTATACGTAGGGCATCCACCGTCCAACCCCCCAATGAATCAACCAGAGCTGATCGTTTTCACGCGCCACAAGCCCCAACCCTATGTCCCGGAACCGTGAAAAACGCAAGCGAAACAAGCTTACGCTTTACTTACAGATCGTTTTGAGCATTTTTTCGATGCTCGTTGCTATGCGGGCTCCTTTTGTCTATGCAAGCGACAGAACTGTTCAAGATGCGCTTACTTATGCCTGCTTTACGCATGTAGGCTCCTTCCGTTTTCTGAATATGATTTTGAGTTGCGCTCGAACAAATCAACTTTGGACTGATTGAAACAAGGGTCACCTGCAAACACTTATGGGCACATGTATGAAACACATCTGCCATGGCATGCTTGCAAAGCTTACGCAGAGCTTTCGCTCGTACTTGCGCATGTTTCACAGCAAGTGCACACGCCCGCTTTGGCGGGAAAACGTGGTTTGCTCTCGCACGGGCTTCCCATGACATAAATGTGGCCCTCTTGCTCGACATGCTCAGGGCCTTGCTAGTCCTCATGGATCGATCACGGGCTTAAGTATTATTCATGGCAGGTTGCTTCGCAAGTTTTTTTCCCCAACAGCTGAAAGCTAAGGGGTCTCAGCCCAGATAGGCTCCGGGGTGGTCCGGGGCGGCCCTGAGGTAAGGTTCCACCAGGGTTGCACCAGGGTTCCACCAGGGTTCCACCAGGTTCTGCAAGGGCCGCGGGGTGGTCCGGGGCGTCCACCAGGGTTCCACGGGTTCCACCACAAGGGCTGCCGGGGGCGGGTTCCACCAGGGTTGTCACCAGGCTTCCACGAGTTCTGCAACCGGGGCGGGTTTCACCAGGGTTCCACGGCTGGGGCAGTCCTGTAAGGTTTCACGAGGGTTCCACCAGGGTTCCACGAGGTTCTGCCAGCAGGGTTTTATGAAGGGTTCCACCAGAGTTGCCACCAGGGTTCCACGCGGTTCTGCAAGGGGGGTCCCGCCAGGTTTCCACACGAGGGTTCCATCGGGCTCCACCAACGTTCCACCAGGGTTCCAGATTTCCGCCAGGTTCACAAGCGTTTCACACTGGGCTCCACGAGGGTTCCACGAGCAGCGCTTGGAGCTTTCCAGGTCTTGATCGGGGACGATCGGGGCCCGATGGCTGCATGTGCCTTAACAGCTAAAGCGACATCCTAAGCAAAACCGGCTGTGCACTATGATTGGCGGCTTGGATTGGTGGTTTGCTCCCGGGCTCCAGTCGCGCCCCGATTGCAGCGTGGGGCCCCGATCGGGGCCCGACGGCTGTAAAGCAGCATCTAAAGCAAAACCGGCGGCGCGCTGTGACTGGTGGCTTGGATTGGTGGTTTGCTCCCCGGCAGCGATGGCGCCATCGGGCCCCGATCGGGGCCCGACGGCGCAATCGGGCCCCGATCGGGGCGGCGGCCGTACCTGTAGCAGCTAAAGCAGCATCCAAAGCAAAAGGCTGTGCGCTATGATTGGTGGCTTGCATTGGTGGTTTGCTCCCCGCCCCGGCCGGGCCGATTGGGCTGTCGGGCCCTGATTGGGGCCCGGCGGTGCAAGTCCCACCTGTGGTTCGTGGAACCTTCGTGGAACTCAGTGTGAAATGCTTGTGGAACCTTTCCGTGGAACCCTTGTTATGGAGCCCTGTAGAACCGTGTGCGCTGCCCCGGAGCACCCCATAGCCCTTGCAGCTTCGCGGAACCTTGGAACCCAAAGCCCGCCAAGTAGTACTAAGCCTGGAGGCCCAATTGATGCAGAAATTTGTGCTCGAATCCTTCTGGCACAAAAAGCGCCCGAAACGTTTGTGGGAGCAAACGACCTGGCGCTAGTGTAGTGACCAGAATTCGGGTCAGTTGTTGAAATTGCGCTCGGTTGCGCGGATTTGCGCCCGAGTTGCGCGAAATTGCGCCCGAAGTTGCTCCGAATTGCGCTCGAAACGCGGGACAAATTTGGGCCAAGCCGTCTTCAAAACTGTTCGTTTCCAATCGAGCAGAAAAAAGTGCTCGAACTCCGAAAATGCAATTGAGCACTTTTTTATGTATCAATTGGGCCTCCAGGAGTCATGCCAAGCTGCGCGCTGAGTCCCGCAACAACCTGATCTGATTTGGCACAAAGCCAAATCCTTTCGGGCCGGGTCGTCTGAGCCCGTGAGCAAGTCTATACAGCGAAAGTGTGCTCAAAACCAACCTTTGAACATCCAACCTACCAGTGCTTCATCCTTCATCGTTAAGTTCCCATTGTTGCAGCTAAAGTCACGGGTCCACCCTAAGGGCGCCAACCTAAGCCATCCAACATTGAGTGCCAACCTTTAGGTCCCACGGTGCTTGAACCTTCATGGTCAGGGCTCCAATGTCCGGGCCGTGTCTTGAAAACCACTTTTTTAGGTGTCCCAAACTGGGGGTTTGCCTGCCCCCAAACCACATACTTTCGGACACCTATTGTTTTGGGCCGTGTCTTGAAAACCACTTTTTTAGGTGTCCCAAACTGGGGGTTTGCTTGCCCCAAACCACATACTTTCGGACACCTATTGTTTTGGGCCGTGTCTTGAAAACCACTTTTTTAGGTGTCCCAAACTGGGGGTTTGCCTGCCTCAAACCACATACTTTCGGACACCTATTGTTTTGGGCCGTGTCTTGAAAACCACTTTTTTAGGTGTCCCAAACTGGGGGTTTGCCTGCCCCAAACCACATACTTTCGGACACCTATTGTTTTGGGCCGTGTCTTGAAACCACTTTTTTAGGTGTCCCAAACTTTTTTAGGTGTCCCAAACTTGGGGTTTGCCTGCCCAAACCACATACTTTCGGACACCTATTGTTTTGGGCCGTGTCTTGAAAACCACTTTTTTAGGTGTCCCAAACTGGGGGTTTGCAAACCACATACTTTCGGACACCTATTGTTTTGGGCCGTGTCTTGAAAACCACTTTTTTAGGTGTCCCAAACTGGGGGTTTGCCCGCCCCAAACCACATACTTTCGGACACCTATTGTTTTGGGCCGTGTCTTGAAAACCACTTTTTTAGGTGTCCCAAACTGGGGGTTTGCCCACCCTTAGCACATACTTTCGGACACCTATTGTTTTGGGCCGTGTCTTGAAAACCACTTTTTTAGGTGTCCCAAACTGGGGTTTGCCTGCCCCAAACCACATACTTTCGGACACCTATTGTTTTGGGCCGTGTCTTGAAAACCACTTTTTTAGGTGTCCCAAACTGGGGGTTTGCCTGCCCCAAACCACATACTTTCGGACAGCTATTGTTTTGGGCCGTGTCTTGAAAACCACTTTTTTAGGTGTCCCAAACTGGGGGTTTGCCCAAACCACATACTTTCGGACACCTATTGTTTTGGGCCGTGTCTTGAAAACCACTTTTTTTAGGTGTCCCAAACTGGGGGTTTGCCCGCCCCAAACCACATACTTTCGGACACCTATTGTCTTGGGCCGTGTCTTGAAAACCACTTTTTTAGGTGTCCCAAACTGGGGGTTTGCCCACCCTTAGCACATACTTTCGGACACCTATTGTTTTGGGCCGTGTCTTGAAAACCACTTTTTTAGGTGTCCCAAACTTGGGGTTTGCCTGCCTCAAACCACATACTTTCGGACACCTATTGTTTTGGGCCGTGTCTTGAAAACCACTTTTTTAGGTGTCCCAAACTGGGGGTTTGCTTGCCCCAAACCACATACTTTCGGACAGCTATTGTTTTTGGCCGTGTCTTGAAACCACTTTTTTTAAACTGGGGGTTTTGCCCACCCCAAACCAAATACTTTCGGACACTTATTGTTTTTGGCCGTGTCTTGAAAACCACTTTTTTAGGTGTCCTTTCGGACACCTATTGTTTTGGGCCGTGTCTTGAAAACCTTTTTTTTAGGTTTGCCCAAAACCACATACTTTCGGACACCTATTGTTCTGGGTCGTGTCTTGAGAACGTTCGGTTTTGCTTAGTGTTCCGCCCTCCACAGCAAACCGTGGAACCCTTGTGGAACCTTTGTAGAACATTTGTGGAGCCCTTGTGGAACTGTGGAGCCTTGTAGAACTCAGCCTCGTGGACCCCTTCCTCGTGAAACCCAGGGCGAAACCTTTGTATAATTTTGTGGGAACCCTTGTAGAACAACCCTGTAGAACCGTGCCTCACACCCCATAGCCCTCTCGTGGAACCCTCGTGACCCTTGTGGAACGCTTGTGGAAATGTGTGGACCCTTGTGGATAACCCCGTGGAACCTTACCATAGCCCTTGCAAGAACCTCGGTCGGTGTGGTGGAACCCTCACGGTGGACCCTTGTGGAACCCTGTGGAACTCTGTGGAACCTTAGCCCTTGGCAAGGCCGGGGCGGGATTGGGGTAAGGTTCCACGAGGGTTCAACTAGGGTTTCACCAGCGAGGGTTTGCTCATGGGCGGAACCGAAAGTCAATGGTTTGAGCACTTCTACGAGAGTTTCACCAGAGTTCCACCAGGGTTCTAGCAGAGTTCCACCAGAGTTCCACCGGGTTCCACCAAAGTTCCATGAGGTTCTGCAAGGGCTGCGGGGTGGTCCGGGGCAGAGGTGTGGTTCCACGAGGGTTCAACTAGGGTTCTATCAGGGTGTCACGAGGGTTTGCTCACGGGCGGAACACTAAGCAAAACCGAAAATCAATGGTTTTCAGCACACTCTTGCCCACGGGGTCAGACAACGCGGCCCGGTGGGTTTTGGGTTCCAAGAAGGGCTCCTCCGTGGGCACAGGGTTCCAAAAGGGTTCCACAAGACGGACTTCACAAGATTTCCACTGCGCAGTCCTGAGGTAAGGTTCCACAAGGTTTCACACTGGGCTCCACGAGGGTTCCACGAGGAGGGTTTACATCCTAAGCAAGACCGGCTGTGCGCTATGATTGGTGGCTTGGATTGGTGGTTTGCTCCCGGGCCCCGGTCGGGCTTCGATTGCAGCGTCGGGCCCCGATGGCGCCATCGGGCCCCGATCGGGCCCTGATCGGGGCCCGACGGCGATCGGGGTCGGATCGCGGCCCGACGGCTGTACCTTAGCAACTACAGCAGCATCCAAAGCAAAACCGGCTGTGCACTATGATTGGTGGCTTGGATTGGTGGTTTGCTCCCGTGGTTTGCTCCCCGGGGCCCGGTCGGCCCGATTGCACCGTCGGGCCCCGATCGGGGCCCGATTGCACCGTCGGGCCCCGATCGGGGCGCGATGGCGCTGTCAGGCCCCGATCGGGGCCCGTCGGCTGCACCTTTTTTTTCAGTTGGCGGTCCCAAGCAAAAGCGGCAGCGTGCTATGATTGGTGGCTTGGATTTGTCATTTGTGGCTTGTCTGAAGCTCTTCACTGTCAAGTCTTTCGCTAGTCTCGAACCTCAAGAACAGAAGCATTTACCCGCAGTCTTTCTTTCAACGGGGTGTCCAGAGAATAGCTTCGGAAGCGCATGAAAAGCAGCTTGTTGGACACCTATTTCAGGACATGTTTCCATGGCCCTTCACTGTGCCGGAAGAGTCTCCAGTTCATGCGGCAACTGCTTTTCCCCAACAGCTGACAGCGATGGGGTCTGTGTTGAGATGGGTTGCGGGGTGGTCTGGGGCGGCTCTGAGGAAGTTTCCACGAGAATTCTGCGAGAGTTCTGCAAAAGCTCCGCGGGTTCCGCGAGGGTGCAAGGTTCATAGGGCGGTTCCAAGGAGGGTTCCAGGAGAGTTCCGCGAGGGTTCTGGAGGGTGTGGCGCTGTTGGGGATATCGCCAGAGCTTATTTTTTAAAAATATATTTAATAGCAGGCACAAAATGGGGTGACTAGGATTTGGATCAGGGTACAAACAAAACAGATTGCTCACATGAAGATGGGAGTCTCCCTTAAGACCAGCAGGGCCAAACCACTTTTGGAGAAAAGAAGGGCCAAACCACTTATGGCTTAACAGTGAATGGATTAACATACAAACAACTAAACAAATACATCATTGAATGCGTGAAACCAATAGTTGAACAACTCAATACACACAGCATAATAAAACAAACATGAAAGTAAACAAGCAAACAGCTAAACAACAATAAATATTATTGTAACTGACTGACTGACTGACTGACTGACTGAATGCGTGTGTGCGTGCGTGCTTGCATGAATTAGTGAACGATCGAACGAACGATTGGTTGATTGAACAAATGCATGATTCAACAAACATATAACAAGCCAAACATAAATCAATAAGCCTAGGCCCCCGAAACCCATGACACCTGCACAAACAGATTACATGGAACACACTGCATGGAGCGTATTTGCCCCATGTTCCCCAAGACCATGGGGCGTCATTTCACGGCGGGCCATGTGGAACTAGCGCCTCCCTTTCACGGCATGGGAGGCGCGATTCTTTTTTGAGGGTGCCCTCTTAGAAGGGATGGTTCCAGGGGTACCTTCCATTTCTTTCCGGGATTCTTTCTAGCAAGCCTCCGGGAACCCGGGAAATCGGCGGTTTTTTGAAAATAACGATGGTTGAACAGAATGGGGAATGAACCCCTAGAATGGTGTTAAGGGGCAGACACGGAAACAAACACCGTTTTTGGGGGTTCCCCGCAAAAAAAACATACACCCCCAAAAGGGGGGGGATGGAAGTCGAGACCTCGAAGCTTCCATAAGTTTGTTTGAGTTGATACGCGTGCAAGTGCGAAGGAATCTTCGAGGTTCCGCGTCAATCTGCGTCCCGTTGAATCGGTTCCAACAACAGGGGTCGGCTGCTACGCATCATGCCTTGCAAGGACCCGTGGCTTAAAAACCCATAATGTTAGAATTGCTTTTTCGCCCCCTGGAAAAACGACTCAATTCTCCAGTGAAATCGATTCCATTTAAAACCAACGAGGGATAATAAGCAACATATTCATTTCAGCAAATGGAAGTCATCTGACGGGGAAGCAAGACAGGGATCCACATCGGCTTGTCCCCAAGCCCCCAAGTCCTTCAGCTTGTTCGTTCCACCTGCCAGAGGAGTAGTGGGAGTGAGATCGATTTCCAAGAGCTTGGCGTGTTCGACGGTGCTGTTCCCCAGTCGGAAAGAAGCCAATTCTTGAGTCAGGTGCCCATTTCGGACGAAATCAAAGGTGATCACCTTTTGAGGCCATGACTGACAAGGGAAAGGAGCAACAAGGTCAGACCAGGCCGGCTCGCTTGGGGCAAGTGAGTTGGCATTTCTCAAAATTGGGCCCTCAAAAATGGAGATTCCTGCGTCTCAACTGGGCTGCCCTCAGATCCCCCGCCAAAAGTTTAACTTTTAGTGGGTTAAATGGCAACTACCACTAAACACCAAAAAGCTAAGGAACCGGATGGCTGGGAGCCACCAAGTCAATGTTAATCACAATCATCCACCTCAAAGAGGAAGTACCCCGAGAGGGCAGCTCCATTAAGAGTGGCGGAGATTGGCGCAAGCCGATGAACAATATGCCCTCTCTTCACGTAACCAGCAAGGGGGCAATACAAACTCCTCGGTTGCTTTCTGCGAAGCCCTGCTAAATGCTGTTCTAACTTTTAGTGGTTTAATACGGAAAACTCATCATTCGTTGGCAGAACGTTTTTTTGACCTCAGATCCCTTGGCAACATTTTCACAGAAACATCAGATCTGCGCAATTTCTTTCAATCCAAGTGCAGAACCCCGGTCATTTTTTAGCTTTTCGCTTTGCGTCCCGGCTTCGCCGGCTCGCGTGCATTTTGTTCTGCAGGGTCTGCGCATGGATGAGAGTAGCTTGTAAATAAAACAATAAACTAAAAATTGTAATAAACACAACCAAAAATGGGTTGCTGCAACAGCCCTTCTGCAACAAGTGTAAAACATATATATTTTTCCAAAAGTGGGTTGCCGCGACCGGGCCTTCTGCAACACATGCAAATAAATCCTTTTTCCAAAAATGGTTTGCTGCAACGGGCCTTCTGCAAGAAGTGTAAAAATCATTTTTCCAAAATGGGTTGCTGCGACAGTGTGTGTGTGTGTGTCCAATACGGGAAATCCCACCGGTTTCAAAAAAACATGGTTTCGTCCAGTGGCCCAAGCTGGGTGGCTGGCTTTGGGTATCGCCTGGAGCTTTGCAAGCCGCTCAAGCGCAAGCCATGGTGCTGGTCAAGATTTCTGCCGCATGGCTACACTGGCGAACCCCACGTTGCAGTGACTCCAGCCAACTGCGAATGATCAGTCCTCCATTAAAATACGGGCCGAGAACGGTCTAGTGATTGCCTAGGTGGTGCTTGATGTGGGTCCGGAAAGATACACATCCAGCTCAAAGACTTGTCGCTGTCTGAATGGGAACTAACCCCGCCTGGGCCAATTGTCAGGATGCCACCAGTCATCAGGCCTGCAAGCTGCACGCTCCGCACTTGCTTCCTTTCTCGCTCGTTGAGCGGCATGTGCCCAACGGGAAAGCAGACTCGCAGCCATTTGGGGAAAAAACGAGTTGCCGCCCCGCACCACCCAAGAAAGCTTCTTAGATAGCAGGGCGCTGAGCCATATTAGGGTAGGCCCCAATGACTAGCCCTAAGCATATAGAACCCAATTGGAAAGGAGTCGGCATTATTACCCCCTGCGATTCGCAAATCAAGGTCGCAGCAAGAGTGGAAGCGCGGCCCAATGAGCGAAAAGGCCAACGATCTCCAACGCCGTCAAATTTGTTCCCAAGGGCCAAAACAACTTGGGCCTTCTTCTACTCAGCTTCCACTCCCAACCCGGCTCATTGGAGGCCGGGCGGTTTTGGAGTGAAAGGGTTTCTTTGCATCGGCGTGCGCATGCTGCCATGCCCTGCACCCCCACTCCGTTTGACCCTGCCATGCGCCCTTCCTGCCTGTGAGATGGGGCCTGCGCAGGAGGCATTTTGGTCGAAAGCTGAACATGTTCAATGAGTTTGAATTGACTCAGTCGTGTCATTCGTGGTCCATGCCTGTCTCAGAAGGCAACGTCGGTCAGCATTGGGGTGTGAAAGCAGCTCCCAAAGTGGTGGTTTTCCAGTTGGCCCCCCTTTATACCAACCAGGAATTTTGATCCTCAAACAACCTCACACCGCACACCCATATAGCTGAACAATTCGAAGCGAAGGCGAAGGAGCTTAAGGGCACTTCACCGACTTGTATGCGGGTGTGGCTTTGGCAAGCCTCTGGCCGACTCCGGCAATGCTTGGAATCTTGAATGTTCATGCTTGGGGGCCTTGAGCCCGTGCTTTTGGCCTAAGCTTATGCCCAGCAAAACAGGGCAGCTGACAAGAAAAGGGAAAGCCGTTCTTGACCTTGGGGTTGATCCGGCATGGTGCCTCCAACGGCAAAGAGCTGGCATTGGGCAGGCTGAAAGCAAGAGGATACCCCCCCCCTCAACGCACAAAACCATCCCTATACCCCTGCTTAGTTGGCATCTCAAGGGACGCAAAAGGTTCAAAGGGCTCTTCGGGAAGCCTCTCTCTCCAAAAGAACTGATCTGCCAAGTTCACCCTTGCGGCCCCTCCTCAGAATGCCCCCCCCCCCCCCCCCGAAAAACACACACACACACACACATCTGCAACGTCCTCGCAGAAATCCCTCTTTAGCTGCTCCTTAGGTCCCTCTTTAAAGGCAACTTTGGATACCCCCAGCTCCGTAACAGCTCCCTTAACCAACCAGCCGGCTACAAGCAAACACATCCGCTTGGGATTCCCTTTGCAGCCCATCGTCCACCAAAACCCCAGATGCGACCATAGCCGGGGCTTCCATTTCGCGAGGACCCCTGCACAAAGTGTTCAACTGTTTGTCGGTTTCAGACGGGAAATGCCACTTGCTTGCAAACAGCAAGTTGACTAGGTCCTCCGGTAGAGAGGTTAGAGTAAGGGTACCAACTTTTTTCTGTAGTCTATTTTGGGGGTCCCCCAAAAAAAGAAATGGGTGAGCAAGGGCAAATGGCTGGGGGACCTAGATACCCTCCCAATTCACAAAGCACCTGACGGGGTCCCTTTCAAAGGAAAATCTTCCAGGACCCCCCAAACGTCAGGTTCCATGTTAAGCTCACTTGCCCAAAGGACCCGCCAATAAAAGGTTAACCTTTTGGGACCCCTACTAAAAATAGACCAAACAGGGAAAACCCAAAGGTCAAAAGGTCGGCTTTGAACAACTGAGTAATGTTAAGGAAAATCATCCAACGTTAAGGTCTAAGGTCCAAGCCACGGTTTGCTATCGCTTGGCCGGGGACTGAGAACTCAGGGCCTGAGGAAAGCGCGTAACTTCAGATGCGCTTCTCTTCTTTGATCGACCCGAATGATGATTCGTGTTTATTTGCTGATTTCACAAATGTGTATATATATATATATATATTATGTTTATATGTGAATTTGTATTCTGTTTATATGTAGATATCTATGCATAAATCAATACATATATATATATACATATATATATTTTTCATATGGATATACGAACAAAAATGGCGGCGACTCCAGCCACCCGCCCAAACCCCGGAGAAGCCCGGCGGCGCGCGCCTCAACGAGCTGCCAGGCCTCCCTGGCTCGCAGCATCTCCCGGACCGCCGCGGTGCCCTCGGACGCACGCGTCATGATCGATACGTACGCGTCTAGGTCATCCAGAGGTTAGAATAAGGGGACCGTCGTTTTTCAGGACGTCTATTTTAGTAGGGGAACCTCCCCCAAGAAAGGGGTGGTCAATTTTTTCAGGGCGTCTATTTTAGGGGAACCTCCCAACCAAGAAAGGGGTGAAGGGCACTACTGGGGGACCTAGATGTATATGTAGATGCATGTAGAGTATATACATATACTGATCACATGCAGATACATTAGCGGATAAATGTATACCTACACATAATACAACGTGTTTCTCTATCATCCATATGTTGTATATTCAACATCCAGTTAGATGAATTTATTATATTCATATACATACACCTGTGCCTTGGCCTTTCTTCCGAGGTCACAGCAAAGCAGACTTCTTGAGTTTCCTCAAAGTGCCAAATTGGCAGATCAGCAAAAACCAGCTTTGTCTGGGTCCAAGATTAAGGCCAAGGTGGAGCCCAAAAGGAAGAAATTCAAACCACTACTTCACGGAATTCCATGAAGGCTCAGACTTACCCAAGTTGGTCCTGCTTCGCGATGATTGCGCGCCCAGCTTGCCCAACAAACGAAGGACCAAAAGCCAATAAATGCAGCGAACCCTACTGGGCAATGCAGCAATGTTAAGTTAAGTTGGTTTTGAGCAAACCCGAACACGTGAGTCTCGCGTGCGCGTTTGGTTGCACATGCTCCCGCTCTTGTGTTGTGCCCGGAACCTACGTGAATGTAGGAATGCTGGTTGAAAAGCTCCTTTACTCGTTTCCTGAGCGGATGGGGCAAAGCAAGTCCAAACTTTGCATCTTCCACTAAAATGGTCCAAACCCCCAAAAGTACAAAGTCCAGGAACTCAGGAAGCGAGTCTATATAAGTGGAAGGCTCCCAACCGCCAGTCATCCACAACGACAAAGCATCAGGAATGCAAATACCCTTGGCCCCGTCTGCGCCTGGTATTTCTCGAAGCGCGTGTTCAAGCCTCATGCATTTGCACTTGCACCAGAATGCTCCTCACAAAAGAATCGTTCAGGAGCTTGAGAACGGAGCAAAACTTGAACGGGTTTCAGCCTGCCCAACCTTAGATCACAAACTTCATGACAGTGGACGCTCTGGAGTCTCATAAATTTTGGAGGACATGTTGACCAGAACTACTAAAAGCCTGATCAAGTTTGGGGGGCATTCATCACTTCTGGGAACTCCCTGTACTCTGGCAGGTTGATGAATCCGGGATCAACTTTCAGGTTGGAAATGGTGCAAGTTCCACTGAACTTTACATTTGGCTCAGGGCCTGGGAAGGCCATAATATTCAGCATGATTCGAAGGTCTTCACACCAAAAAGCGAGTGGTGCTCTCTTTTGCCCCCTTCGGAACTCAACTTGTGATTGAGAATCCCTTTGGCTTTGACCGAAAGCGCCCAACTCGCTCTGAGTGGGCCTTTCACCACATGATCTCAAGTGTTTCCGCCATCTCACGCGCCAGGTACAGCTCGGTTTTGAACAATTGGTTAACAGGGTGCGCAGTCCCAGTTCAAAAATAATCCGACGGCTGGCATTCCCTCCAACCAGACGTGGCCCTTTGACAGACCTGCATGGACCCTTGGGGTAAGTCCAAATAGGGGACCCGGGAAAAACGGGTGGGTATTCTTCGTGGTTTCCCTTTGGCCGAGCCAAACAAGGGTAATTACCGGGGTATCACCGGAGCACAAAGCCATCACCGGGCCACCGGCACTCAAGAAGACCTCAGCGGAAAGCAAACTGAAGAAAAATACGCCGGGCCAGCACGGAGTGAACCAAAACCGCTGAGCTGTTGGTTGGGAAGGGTTCAAAACGGGGACACCGTACACCACTTAGCATAGCAGGAATATAACAATGTCTCAGGGCGGCCTCAATAATCGAGGGGTCTGATGCGCAAACTTGACCGGCGAGCGCTTGTTGGAATTGAAGGAGTCCTTTGGAAAAAGCAGGCTGCCTGGCTTTTGCTTGTTTGGCTGTGGTGGGCCAAAAGCAAACCTTCACAAAAGCACTTTCCCACCAAGCCATCCAAGCGCCACCTGTTGGGAAAGCACCAGAAGAAAAACGGCACACGTTGCCCGTCAAAACTCAGGGAGTGGAGGAAAGGAACCAAAAAGGGACCCCTGATTGGCAACTGGGGAAGCAATCAGAAGTTGACATATGCTTCGCTTGTAGGCCTGCCTGGGCTTGACGACGGGCGTTCAGCCAGAAAGGGCTTGAGGAATGAACATGAGCTGTTTGAGGGGCCACTTGACAAGCAGCTCGGTCACCTGCAGCAGCAACACACAACCCAGTTTGGGGGTTCAATGTGCGGGATTATCATCACCAGACATCGACAGGGCACTCAAAACCGGTACCCCATCAATCTGGAACACGATGGAGGCCCAAAACTAACGCCCAAACATAACATTGTCCTAAGGGTTGACTCCCCATTCTTTTCAACCATCGTTCTTTCAAAAAACCGGATCCGTTTCCCTGGGATTCCGGAGGTTTTCTAGAAAGAAGGATCCCTGGAAAGAATGGAAATGGAAGGTACCCCTAGAACATTGTCCCACCCAGGATTTCCGTCAGCAACCTGCAAAGGACTTGACACCGCGCGGCCGGACTCATGGAACCTCCGAAGGGATGCCCACCCCACCCAAGCAAGTCGTCTCAAAGGCGTTGAATCATGTCAGAGGTTCGCATTGTAAGACCAATTCCCCTGTTGCAACATCAAGGTCAAGGTTCTCTTCAAAATGAAAAACAAAACTAGCTCCAACACCGGACATAACTTGCATCCCCAAGTAAGGGACCCTTCTCATTGGTTTTTTTGATCCTTTCCGGGACCGGGATCGGCCGGATCGGTGGACTGCTCCCACCGCAAGGAGCCGAGTTGCTCTGGAACAACGCCTGGACCTCCGACAGGACGCTGCCGTCGCCCCTCGCTCACAGGTTGAGCGGCAGGAAGCCAATTGAACCAAGGGCTACCTTCCCCATTCTTTCCAGGGATCCGAGTCTTTTCAGGAAACCATCAAAAACCCAGGGGAAACAAATCCGGTTTTCGAAAAGAGCGATGATTGAGAAGAATGGTTGGAATCAACCCCTAGAACACTTTCTCAGCTCCTTCTTGACCTCAAAAAGGAGAAGAAACGGGAAGTGCAAAAAACAACCAGTCGCCCGCTTGAAGAATCGGAAAAGCTCGGTTGCGTTTTGCGAAGCCCTGCTAAAAGTGACTAACTTTTAGTGGTTTGCAGAAAACTAATCACTAGTTGGCAAAACAAGTTAAAGTCCTAACATCCCTTGGCAAATTTTTCACCAAAGGAACATCAGATCTGCGCAATTTGTTTCAATCCAAGTGCAGGACCCCATTATTTTAGCTTTTCGGTTTGCATCCCTTGGCATTATGACCCCTAAGGCCCGGCTTATGACCCCTAAGGCTTAAGACCCCTCCAATGCAGGGCCCCGGGTCTCCAATGAAGAACCCATCTCAGAACCCGGAAAATGCCTGGGAATACCCCCTTTGCAAAATCACCTTAGCCTTCCCTTGACGAAGCCTGGAGTTGCTTTTTGGGTATTTGGGATTTATTTTTTTGGGAGCACCAATCAGATGCACCAAAGAAACGTGCGCGCCTGAGGTTGTGGAAGTGCGCCCAGGCGCCCAGCAGCGCCAAGGTGGCGGCAACCTGGCAGCGGCCCGGCGAGCTCGGCGCTCGGCGTCTCGGTTGGAAGCTCCGGTGGTTTAGCAGGGAATCCTCAAGTAAGGGACCCCCTTCCTCCTGGTCTCGCTCAAAAAACACAAAAAACAGGGCAGAGGTGTGCCATCACCTTCCACATCTTCCGTAGCTTGCAGATCCGTTTTCGGTGTTTGGTTTCAGAGGGCAAGCCCCAAACAGGGGTACTTATATGACAAACACCTGAACATTGCAACTTGTAAATGGTGGCGTCCCTTTATTTTGGTGTTGAAAAACAACATGTTTCAAATGGTTGCAAAATGGATATTTTTTCAGGAGCCCTGTTTAGCCACCTGGTCTTGGTTGACGTTGGAAGGGGTGCAACAATTCTCAACTTTTAGCAGTTCAGTGGTTGGATTTCCACTTGCTCGTTCGTGTCCTGGAAACAATGAGAACACTATGTCCAGTAGTGATCGATTCCTTTTGAAAACCAACCGGAGAAAATAACAAATATGCTTAAACAAATGGAGGTGGTTCAAGGAACACACAGGAAGTTGTACGGCGAAACCACGCCAGCCACCTGGTAGGGCATTGGGTTGGGTTTGTTGGCCGATGTTTGAGGGAATCACCGAGAAATGCAAGAGTTGTTGTGTGTTGGCATGGTGTTTTTTCAGGGAATCGTTGTGAGAATGAACCGGGAGGGGATCCCTTAAGGGAAGCCACAAAAAAAAAGGCGCCAATCCCTCATTCCGCAACCCTTTTGGCACCCCCACTGGTTGCACCACCGTTATTTCAACAACCTCCATTGGGTTTCGTTGGTTAAGGTGTTGTTTTCTGCCAAACCCCCATCTCCTTGAACACCATCTAGGAGTGACGGTGAACAAGTCAGCGTTTCTTCTGCACGTGGAGCGTGCATGTTCCAGCTACCTGTGCAAGAAATAGAGGGCATCTAAGGACCTTTGTTTTTGGAGAGGTCACCCACCCCACACATGCATCACCATGTCAGATCGCCACAGTTTGCCCAGCAAAGCCGAAAGTGCACGAAACCCATTTCAAGATGAACGTACACATACACCCAGCATAGGTATTTTGAAACCGATGCCAGGCCACAAAAGCAAGGAGCCCAGAAGACGAATGTGCCTCGCCGGCATTTCCTTACAGAAAGTCCTGTTCGGGAGGTTCGCCGCGCGTTTGCTCTTGAGTTTTGGCCGGGCCGCTCATTTTTTAAGCCTTCCAGGATCACAACCCTTACGGTTCACTATGATGCGCTACTTGGGCGGGCTTGGCTCGGGTTGCAGCAAGGGGCCTTGGTGCCCGCCTGAAAGGCGCAAGCGATCCACTTCTTGCGCGCACCCCTTGAAAGCCCCGTTGGTTCTACCAGACCTCACCATTTTATAAATGGCGCTCCGAAACAAGGCTGTGGGACCACGTGTGCGACACAACAACAAGGGATTCCCAAAGACTAACCCCCAGATAAAGGGGGAGATCCCCAGAAGTATCATAGAAGTGATTGGATAAACCCCGAGTGATCAACCACAACCCGGCTCCGAAACAAACAAGTTCGCATGGCACGTCCAAGTCGCCTCCACCAGCACCTTGTGCAGTGCTGGCCCCTGCCAAGCTCGCGGCTGCCCCAGGAGAAGTCTTCAGGGCATGCCGAGTATATCATATAACTAGGTCCTCCAAATAAGGGTGCCCGTTTTTCCGTAGTCTATTTTAGTAGCGGAACCCTCCCAACCAAAAAAGGGGTGAGAAAGGGCACTACTGGGGGACCTAGATATTTTTATGGATGTCGAGCATCGAACCAGGAGGGTTGGAATCAATCCTTTTTCTCTTGCTGGCCATTTCTTACACCACATGTTTCTCCCCCCCCCCCAGAAAAAAAAAAAAACAACAACAAAACAAAACAAAAACAAAAACAACAGCAACAAACAGCTTGTGTCTTGCAGGGGAAGGGAACGGACACTCAGGGGCACGTAGTTTAGCTTCACTGACAGTTTCAACCTCCTCCCCCCCCCCCTTCTGTTGCCCGGGCCTTTGCGTGAGGCTCAGCCCCCAAGCCCAGGTGAGCTCCCAGCACTTGACGTTGATTCCCAGCAAAATTGCGCGGATGGACTTATGCCAACACCCCCTCTCACTTGCCCAAAGGACCCAGAAATGAAAGGTGATCACCTTTTGGTGCCATGACGAAACATGGATCAAAAGGTCAGATCCGGTCGATTCGCCCTGGGCAACTGAGAACTGCAAATTAGCCTATCTGCGGCATACACAAAGTTCACTCGAAATGCCCCGCTTACAGAGGCCTATGAGTGGGTTATGACCTAGGTTACCAACAACTTACTAACTTGGCCGAGCACCTAAGTAGGTTTGATCAGTGGCATGGGCAGCTTCAAAGAGATCTGGCCAATCTTTCCTGAAGCTCGCCCATTGGCGAGCCGAATTTCCATTTGGAGGAATTCGACGAAGGAGAAATAATCTACTAAGGCCGCCATCCTCTGGGTAGGTGATGGCGCGATTTCAGTTGCCCAGATACCATTGGGCTTACCATCGGAGTCTTGAATGCCAACACACGGCATGATTTCCCTCCGTACATTATGTGCCCGCAAAGCGAAACAGGCATAGTTCCGTCCGTCCGGTACGCCTCGTCCTTGCATAACCAACTACTTGGAGGCCGGGGATGGTCAGGACGATGTCGCGCTAAGCCGCAATGAATAAGCCGTTCAAATTCGAGAGTACCCGGCCACACAGAACCAATCAACGTAATTGGCCCAAAGGTTCCGCAAGAACAAAGGGACGACCAAACATGGTGGAACAAGGTGCAGCAAGATACCTCCCCCAGCCCGGGTCAAAGCCGGAGGCCTGTTCTGTCTGATCCCCTGCTGTGACCTGCCAAGGAAAAACCCGTGTTGGCACTTGCTAGGTCTTGGCGAGCGAAGGCTCGCAAAAAGCACCCCCCCCCCACCAAAAAAAAAGGGGCTTCGGGTGCCAATTGTTTAAGTGCTCTTTCTGGAAAAGTCCCCACGCTTTCTTCCTGGAAGCGATGGACACAAGGAGGGATCGATCCAAGCAAACGTGCACATGCACAATGGCCCAAAGTGGGATGTCACGTTCTGTCGCTCTCACCTGCCCAAGGCAAATGGGAACCCGGGAGGTCAAGGGATCAAGAAGGCCATTTCTTCGAGGCCTTCACTGAGTTTGGTGAGCACTCCTCAGAAACCTGGGTTCATTGATACGATACTATGCCGAGAGAACCCGTTTTTCCCATGCCAAGGCCGCGTTTCCCGCACGGTTTTAAAACCCCCCTCAAAAGTTGCAACTTAGTTTCCCTTCAAACAATCGCCACTTTTGGAGATTCCAAAACAGGAGATGGCTCGGAAACCCTGTCCTTCGAGCCCACATTTGGAACATCGGACCTGTGGATGACGCTGTTGCAAGGCAAACGCGAAGTTTTCTCCACTCGCAGAAGCTTGGTTGCAACTTTCCCTCCGCAAGCCGTTTTCCACTTGGCTCAATACGAGGCATCTCTTCATTCAACCGAAGATCCGAGCCGCTGGAAGCCAAGGAAAATGGTTGCATCCCAGGGGCAAATTCCCCCAAAAACCGATCGCTGTTTTTCTTCTGGGTTCGAGTTCTGATGGTTTTCTGGAAAAAAAAGGATCCTGGAAAGAATGGTAGGAAGTGTCCCCTAGAACTATCTACTTGTTGGTTTTAAAGGGAATCGATTTCACTACTGGAAATGTGTTCTTATTTTTTCCGCCTCCAGAAGGTTCCCTAGAATGGGGAAGAGTGGGAAGAGTAGTGTGAAGGGTTCCCCCCATTTGGAGAGGAAGCACGTTCTCCTTTTGAAGCCGGTTTCCACATCACCTTTTGGACGAATGGACAGATTGGGATCCCTGGAAAGAATGGTTGGAAGTGTCCCCGTTGCATCCCGCCTCCAGCAGGTGTTGGGCCTTTGCACCTCAGCTGCGGGATTCTGATCCGCAGAAATATTAAACTTGTGAGCGGCGGCCGGAGGATGTGACGTGTGATGGAGACATGGGTCAACACACAACATTAAACCTCATGATTGGGCAATAGAATCTACATCAATACCGTCAATAATAATTTCATCCTTAAGTTTTGGCTTGATGCACGCACCGGTAGACTGCGGTTTTCTGCCAAAAAAATGTATCTTTGGAAATCATGCAGGGTGCCTCCTTTTCCCGTTTTTGGATCTCCAAAAGTGGCAGTATTGTTGGAACCCACGAGTAAGAGGCAACTTTTGAAGGGGAGCCCTGTACTATGTTCGGATTCCGCTTCTCCGTGCGTCTGCCAAACATATAACATTGGGAGGAGACGCCAATTCAAAAACCGCATGCACCAACCCCTTACGCCTAAACACCCAAATGCAAGCATGAGAGGGTTCTGTGTAACCCCCCAGCAAGCTCTAGCACGTTGGTAAAAGAAGTCAAACACGAGAGGGGCTCTGGATTTAGTCACGGCGGGCAGCTGTTGAATGCCGGATGCCCGTTATAGTTGGGACTTCCATGTTGGTCGCGTCCACGCGATGCTCCAAACTTGACGCCTCTTTTTGTTCCGCGCGTACACCCAGTCCTAATTCCAAGTCCGGGTGACATGCAGAGGTTCTATGTACATCCGGGTTCCGTCACAATCCGGTTCAGACTCCCAGGTTCCTTACTGACGGACAAGAAACAAGTCTGAAACGGGAAGATTCTCAGGCTCACTCCCAAATGCCAAAGGGCATGGCAAAAAAAGTCTAACTAAAGCTGAACCCAAACCAAGTGTTGAATCGAAACTATTACCAAAACTAAAGCTAAAAATAAAATTGAATTGAAACTGAAAGTCTAACTAAAACTAACACTCACTTTACCCTGGAGGATATCCTGAAAACTACAAGGTCAAACAGCCACCTTAACCCCAGTTCACCCACTTAAAAGCTAGGGCTTTACCAGTCTCACCGGGTCCCGCGGAGGCTTGTGATTTACTTTTTGTGGATATTTTTTGCGAAGCTCATGATAAAATGGGGTTTTTAGGTGGAGATCCATGCCCACTGAGAGCATGTGTTCTGGGCTGCCCTCAGATTCCAACTAAAAGTGACCAACTTTTAGTGGGTCAAATGGAAACTACCACTAACCACTAAAAAGCTCAAAGGCTAAGGAACCGGATGGCTGGGAGCCAACTATAATGGTCACTGGAGGCACTGGCATTCCGCGTAACGGAGCTCCGAACAGCGAGCCTGGGACCTTTGTGCAAGCTATCGCCCTCCTGCGCGCAGCGAGGAGAAACGCGCAATCATCCGGATAGCCCGCAGGACAGTGGCGTGAAGGAAGCGCGTCTCGAAATCCATCGGTCCATCAATTTGAATCCAGGGTCAACATCATTGTCCGTGAAATGCGAAAATGACACCTCTCTCCAAGCCCTGTCTCCTTTGCGAATCCCACTGGCATCAGATGTTCATCGATCAGATGGATCCTCGAGCCGCTCATGCTCCTAACAGGCGAAAACACGAAACCACAGAACTTGGTCAGCAGCTTCCAGTCGAGTGGATGGGTTAAAAGCTTCACCTTGTTCCAATCGCCAAAAGGAAAAATAGATGGCCCCTGGTAAATGAAATGAAACCCATCTAAACCAGTGCCATCTATGTTTGACCAAGCCAGCTAACTTAAAAAGGACACCTATGGCTACAATGGTCAACTTGGGGGAGTTGTTGGCAATTTCTTTGAATTCGTGTCTGATCCCACAGCCACAATAACTGTTGGTCAGGGAGTCATTCCCCTTTTGCCAGCTGGGTATGCCTTGTTTTCTTTTGCCCACCGAGAGGACCAACGGAAAACGCAACTAATAGGGGTCACGTTGTGGATGTGGAGGCTCCTAATCAAGCCCCAATCTGACATTTCCCTAAAGCAGGCTTGGGTGATCCAATGCCGGGCTGAAACCCCTGCAAATGAAAACTGTCTGTCAGGAACCTCGAGTCAGGTTCCATGTTGGTCGGTAGGGTATCGAGACATCAGACATGTGAGTCGCAATCCAAAGGTGGCACTCACAGGAATGTTCCATGATGTGGAAGCTCGGTTGCTTTCTGCTCCCCTGCTAAAAGTTCAACTTTTTGTGGTTTAATAGAAAACCCGTTGGTTGGCAAAAAGTTAAAGTCCAAGCAAAATGCACCAAAGGAAGATGTACATCCAAACGGAAATTACCTTACATACAGCTGTGAACCTTCCTTACGGCTCTGGGTTCCCAGACAAGCCGCACAAAAAGCCGGAAAATCAATGGGTGGCTTTTGGGCATTCCCCCGCAAATCTGCGATCATCGGGGCTGGGGGGGAGGGAGGGGAGGGGGAGGGAGGTCAAAAAGAACCCTATTTAGCCCGTATTAATGCCTTATTTAGGGCTTATTTAGGGCTTATCTGGGCTCCCTCCCCCTCCCCTCCCTCCCCCCCATAATACGTCCCGGTTTTTGATTGCGCCCATGTCTCTTGCTTCGCCTTGTTGGGGCACTTGCAGCGATAGCACCGCAGCGCCGCCTGTGCCAGCTGCATATCTCCGCCTCAGCCCCCGCCGACGCCGGGCCAGCGGCGATAGCCCGCACAGCTCTGGCAGCCTGGAGAGACACTCCCGCAGACTAGCATGGAAGCTCCCAGAAGGCCTCTGCGAATGGAACCAAGTCTTCCAAAGCGGTCGGGGGAGCTTCCATGTTAGCCTGGGGCCCTGGGGGAGGGGAGCTGTTGCTTCTGCCCAAACTATCCCCCGCCCTTGAGGGCGAGGGTGGGAGGTCCCCAAGTCCCATTGATCTAGCATTGCCCAAGGGAAAAAGTGGAGGCAGAACGGGAAAATCAGGGGCCAGCCCCCTCGTCCAATTCCATGCTTAAGGATCAACCTGAAAATGCAGAGATTCCAGTTGAC